CAATATAGCTTTCCTTGGAAGTGCAAAGGCTTAACAAACAGAATTCCTCTCCCTAATGCTGAGAATGTAACTTTTCGGGACCAATAGAAAAGCAGAGCAGGGATCTCTACGGACAGGTGTTGGCAAAACGCTTGTGGCCAAAGAGGCCCTTCACCTTGTGCTTCCTCCATCCTCCCAAGTCACATCCTCAATGAGGACATCTGGGGAAGATGGCAGATGTTCCCAGACCACAGAGGCCCACGCCACGCGCCTTCTTGCTTACTGCCTGTTCATGCACTCGAGCTGCAGCAGGGCCCCAAGGCTTCATGAGCTGGTGGGACGGGCTCTCTGAGAGCCTACCCAGATAAGGGATTTAGGGGAAGGGGAAGGAGCACACATCAGCAGAGCTCCTGCTTTGAGCCAGGCAGTCTTCATGAACAACCCATGAGGTCAGCATTATGATCCCATTTTATAGGTGAGGCCACAGGTGCTCAAAGAGTGGTGCAGTGACTTGCCCAGAGCCCCTCAGCTGGTAAATGGGGGAACTAGATTTGAACTACCTGAAAAGTAGAGGCCCCCATATTGTAAACTCCAGATATTCTAGTGCTTAAAGTTAGAGACAGGCAGAGTTGCCATCTTGGGGTCCCATGGGTTCTCTGGGAAAGCCAGGCTGGCTCCTCAAATGTAAGGTGGGCCACTGTTCTTCCCCAAACTCAGGTCTTTGCATTTCACCTAATATGTAATGAGACTAGGAGATAATGAGTTGTCTTGCCTCTAAGGACCCAGTGGTGAGGTATGCCCTCCAGCACACCACCATCCCAGAATCAGGCTACAGGGGCTGTCTCCTCAATCGGTAGGTCTTGCTGGGTAAAGAATCAGAACTCAACAGTTTTCACAGCTGAGGGGCAGCGTGCAGGCTGGAGAGGCCTGTGGCCATGGCTGCCCCCAACTTCTGATGGTGTGGTGGGGGGTGCATCCCTACATGCTCCCAGTGCGCCTGGAATCCTGACAGCACCTGCTCCACCCCTCTCTTCAGGTATCCTTGTCTGGGCTACCTATAGACCCATCCCCACCCTTCACCTCATAATCACTGCAGAGCACCCCCCCTTCTCAAAGGAAGCACCATTTTGATGTGTCATTACAGATGAGTTTTGCTAATCTCTGTCTTTTTTGTAAACGGAGCCTGCACTCCGGCCAGCACTGCAGTGGGACCACCCCTGTTGCCGTGTGTAGTTACAGAAGGTCCACTGTCAGCTTGAGGCATCTGCTGTGTGAGCGCGCCACCCAGGCGCTGGAAGGGCGCATAGGCCCCTCCTAGTTCTCAGCCTCTACAGAAGGTGGTATGAACATTCCGGTCTGTGACCCTTGGCAAGCATGTGGACATGTATAGATTGCATACACAGAGTGAATTGCTGAGTCATAGTGTTTGTGTTTGTCCAGTTTAATCGATTCTGCCAAATAGTTTTCGGAGTGACTATATGAAAGGTTCCAGTTGTATTTTGAGTTCCTCCATGACAGTGGAGGTGGGACCCTCCACCTACTCTGCTCCCTTAAGGGTCAGTGTCTCACTTGAGTCTTCCAGTGGCGGGCCTGACCCCGCAGCCTCCCAGTGTCACAGGAGTGGCTGCAGTGATGCCAAGTGCCCTGTGAGGTGCTGTGCTGGCAGCCCCGGAGGGACAGAAGAAGACTACCCTCTAGCTGGAGGAGGAATGATGGGAATGGCCGGCAGGGTGGGGACTGGGAAGGCACAGCAATGCCCAGCTTGTTGCCCAGCTCTGTGAAGTCCTCCTGCCCTGGGCACATGGCTATGTGCTGGCAGCAAGCAGCCCTCTGCCTGGTGGAGGTCCTGAGAGTAGGGGGACGACATTCAGGCTGAAGCTGGCACGAATCCCGGCGACGCAGAGGCGGTTCCCTAAGCCTCAGCCACGGTCTTTGTCAGGATGGGCTTGGCTCAGTGCTGGGTTCTCTGGTTTGTCACCCCCTTTTATGAACAGGGCACAGTAGGGATTTCAGACTGAAAAGGACATGATCCCCAGCTTCGAGAAGCACAGTTTCATCTACAGAGAAATCCTCCCCCAGGGAACGAAGCATAAGGAACAGGTGGGCTGGGAGGGATGCAGGGCCTGGGCGGCGGCCACCTAACCAGTTAGGGGCTCAGTGAGTTGAGTGGCACCAAGTGCTCAGAGCAGTGCCCCCCACTGCTGGTGCACCAGCTGCAGGGCCAGGGCGCTCCCGGAAGAGGGGTTGCTGGCTCTGAAGGAGGAAGAGCAGCGTTTGGCCAGGGAAGTGGAGGGTGTCCTGGGCTTCAGAAGGCTGTTTGCAGGGGACAGAGAAGCTTCCTGGTGTGGCTTCGGTCTACAGAGTGGGTGCCTCAGGTGTCTGGCTGAGCTCAGAGTGTCTTGCAGCTTGTGAGACGAGACGTGTGGGACCTCTCAGGGTCCCCCCAGGAGGAGAGAGTCGGGGTAGGTGGCAGAGCCTTCTTCAGGCTCAGAGGCATGGGTTGGTCCCCTCAGCAGGTCCTAGCCAGAGGACAGCCTTCTGTGGGGGGCCAATCTGCAGAAAGAGGGGTTCTGGGGGTGTCAGCTCACCCAGCAGCTTGGAGATGGTGTTTCTCTTTGCCTTTCTTGATCCTGTGGAAGGGCCACAGCCACCACCACCCCCATGTCGGGCCCACATATTTATTCAAGAGCTGTTGATGGGACCCCAGCATCTGCCGAGACTGGGCTCAGTGCTCATGGAAACACCTTGGGGAGCAAGACAGACAGCCTGCTGTGCAGTTTATAGACCGGTCTAGAGCAGGGGTTCCCAAAGTCGGAGCCCAGACCAGCCATGGCACACCTGGGAACTTGTAAGAAGTGCAAAATCTCCAGCCCCACCCAGGCCATTTGAATCAGAAACCAGTTTAATAAGCCCACCAGGTGACTCAAATGTGCCCCAAAGTTGAACTACTATCAACACGTGGGTTCTTAATGGAAGGCAGCTCCTGTCAGAGGACATGTGGCAGGGTCTGGAGACAAGCATGGCTGTCACAGCTGGGCGAGAAGGCACTACCCACATCCAGTGGGCAGAGGCCGCGGTGCACAGGGCCACCTTCATGGCAGATTAGCTGCTCCCAGCGCCAGTTGTGCCCCCAAGCAGTTTGGGTTGAGGACAGGGAGCCAGTGGTTCTGCCTCGCCCTGGGTGGTGCTGGGCCCCTAATTATCATGTTCTGGTTCCCTGGTTTAGATGGGACTTGAACACTGATCGTTTTAACCCTGTCTCTGGGCCAGTGTGACTCAGTTTGGGGTGTCACGTGCAGAGGAGGTAACCCAGCCACACACACATCCGATGGCCAGAGCTGGTAGCTCCTGGGGTGGGTGAGGGACAGCAGCCTACAGCCTGCACCGCCTACCCTGCAGCCCCGAGAGCTCACAGCTCTGCTTCTCTAACTGCTCTCCAGGAGGTGATCCAAGGGCCAGAACTCAGAGCCCACGGGGCAGGTCAAAGCACCAGGATCACTCTGCCCAGAAGAGGGAAAGTCAGGCATCTATATCCCAGAGGGAAGTGGTGAGGGTGCTCTCAGCCTCTCCTAGTGGAAGTCAGGCAAGGAGGTGGTTTGTTAAGTTCACTTGGGAGGTTAGAAGAGGTTGGCGCCCTTTCGTTGTCCATTATGATTGCAGCTCCCTTGTCACTGTGCAAAATTTGCCTCCTTTGCTCCTGTTGCCTACACTGATCGCACGGTTACTGGCAGAGTGCCTTGCTGTGCCAGCCATCACACAGGGGGTAGGGTGGTGCAGGACAGACCCAGTCCCTGCCTTCCCCAGCTGCAGACCTCACATCTATCATTCCTGCTCTGGGCCAGCCCTGCTTTCTGCCCTCTGCCTCTTCCCAGACATCCCCCACTTGCCCCACAGTCCCTGAGCCTGGTCCTGCCTTCAGATACCAAGAGGCTAGTAGCTGGCTCTGGTACATCTTCTCATGATGCTTTCTCCTCCGGTTGGGTCCCAACTACACTGCACCCCACAGACCGACCCCCACTGGCCCTCCAAGGCGACCACATCCATATTCATGCACATGTTTCTGAACATGAGCCTTTGGTGGGCTCTGTCCCTAGGAATGGGGACAAGGAGGAGCCAGAGGACAAGGCTGTGCCTGGGTCTTCCGGCCGGGTACTGTTTGCAGGAACCAATAAGCTCTTTCTAACTCTTCTGAGAAAAAAGACAGGGGAGTCAGATAGTAGGGGTTAAAATAGCTGATATAAATATAGAGACAGCAAGTAGGTTAGTAGTGGCTTAGGGCCAGAGCCAGGGCCAGGTGGGGGAGGGGGCCACATGGGGGTGGTAGCTGAAGCATTTGGGTTTCTCTTTGTGATGATGAAAATGTTCCAAAACTGTGCTCCCTGTGAATATACTAAAAGCCATTGGGTTGTAACTTGAAATGGGTGCACTGTATGGTATGTATGTGATGGTATCTCAGTAAAGCTGCCTAAAAATACAGTTGAGATGCATAGCCATGCTTGAGCTGCCTAACACTCCCTCACCCCAAATTGAACACCAGAGTGAACCCTCCTTTGCCTCTCATTAACCTTCTGAGGACAGGCTCTTCTCAGGGAGACAGCCAGGACTGTGCTGGGACCCTAGCCTTCTCCTGAGCCCACTCTGGGGAGGGAGTCAAAGGTGGACAGAAGCTTCTCAGAAGCCTCAAGCAGAAGGTCCTTCAGAGAAACCTGAGGCCTCAGTAATGCAGCCCCCAGCCCAGAGCTGTGTGGACACCAACACTGGTTCATATTTTCCAAACTGATTAATGGATTTCATAGCTCATGGTTTTTATCTTTCTGTTTTCTAATTTTTCTATGCTATGTCCGTATTATATTTTTAGGTCAAAAGCACATAAAATCAGGGGTTCAGTGGAGGATGAGTTGGGGATTTGATGTCTCTGGCCCAGGGTCAGACCTGGTGGCTCAGGGTCAGTCAGGCCTGGTGACCCAGGGTCAGGCCTGCTGGGTGTCTTGGCAGCTGACAGACTCTCCCCACTCTTGCAGGAGTCATGTGGCTGGAAATTCTCCTCACCTCAGTGCTGGGCTTTGTCATCTACTGGTTTGTCTCCCGGGACAAGGAGGAAACATTGCCTCTTGAAGATGGGTGGTGGGGGCCTGGGCCAAGGCCCCCAACTCAAGAGGATGAGAGCATCCGCCCTTTCAAAGTGGAGGCGTCAGATGAGGAGATCAACGTGAGACATCTTTCCCAGCAGGACTGAGCAGGGGGCAGGCGGGGAGGCCCCTTCTGTGGTTTCTGGGAGATGGGTTGGGCTTTAGGCTGCGCTGGGGTCAGGGAAGGTCAGCGAGGGCTGGGGATGGCCAGGGTGCCTCTTAGGAGTGTTTTTCAGTCTGCTCCTCTCACTGGGCAGGCTCAGGTTGCTCCAGATCAGTGTGCCCAGCTTGCCCACTCTGCCTACCCACTTCCTTCCTGCCTTGGCCTCCCGCTTTCCCCTACCCAAGGCCCAGCAGTGCCCAGGCAGTGTCAACTGGACCAGAGGTGCATCAGAGGTCACAGAAAGCAGTTGTTTCCACCTCCTTTGTGCCCCACCTGAAACCTGGGGAGTGAGCCTTGTGGAGACCACGAGCATGTTCTCATCAGAGCCGGGGCAGAGATCCTGGGTGAAAAGCAGGGCCATGGTGACAGCAAGTGCAGGAGTATAGAGGACCTGCTATGGGGCCAGTGTTGGGAAAGCACCTATTGTATGTCAGCCACTCATGGTCACAGAGAGTCCCCACAGTCGTCGCTGAGTGAGAGCCGTTGTTTCCATCTCACAGATGCAGAAAGAGGGCTCAGAGAAGCAAAGCAGTTGATCCAGGGTGACTGAGGTCATAGGAGGATTTGGACTCAGACCTCCCTCGCCTGCACAGGGCTGGCATCAGGAAGGACCTGCTGGGGGGTGCTTACCTGAGAGCTAGGCTTGAGCAGTGTGAGGAGGGTGGGAGAGACCTCTACCCTTTCCTGCTCTCATTCTGTGGGTATAGAAGCATCTGGTATGTGCTGGGTGCTGAGAAGAAGAGGGGTTCTTCCCTCAAACAGCCTGTAGTCCACAAAAATGTCACAAAAGTTCTGAGGAGGAAGGGATGAGAAAGCAGAACCTGGGCTGCATCCGGGAGAAGGCTGAGGCTCCCTTTCTGTTTCAGACAGACAGCCTTGAGGACAATTCCCATGTGGGTTCTCAGACCCAGAGTCTTAAGATTCCTGAAATCTGGGAGAGAGGTGCTTGGGAGGGCCCTCTGGGAGGGAGTCCCCTACTCCCTAGGGGAGTACGCCCATTAGCCTTCTCGCTTGTGGCCACACATCAAAGTCAGCAAAACACAACCCTGGGGACAAATGCTTTCTGCCACTGAGTTTTGTGCAGCCCCTTGTGCTAAGAATAGTTTTCAGATCTCTAAACAGTTGGAAAAAATCAAAAGAATATCCCATGACCTGTGACAATTAGATGCCATTCAAATCTCAGTGTCCATAAATAAAGTTTGGTTGGAACACAGCTGCACCCGTTCAGGCCATATGGTCTATGACTGCATCCACACTGCAGTTTGAAAAGCCTAAAGTAGTCCTCTCTGGCCTTTACAAAAAGGGCCCCACCGTATGTAAGCCCAGACAAATTAAAGATGTATGTCCTTCATACATGTAAAAGCTGAAACATGAGCAGTAAAGGGGAAAGAGAAAGCAAGGAGCATGTGCTTTGGAAACAGCTCCCTAGGAAACAGCCTGGCCTCCAGGGTGAGTGCAAAGGGGCAGGCAGGTGACCCCTCACCCTGGCAGGTTGGCCTGCCTCTGCCTGGCTGCACCCCTGCCCTCTGGAAACAGGCCCGCTTTTGTGCACTGCCCCCGCCACCCCACATCCCACATTTCACTCCAGGACTTACACCAGAGGATCAAGAAGGCCCGGATAACCCCACCTTTGGAGGACAGCCACTTCCACTATGGTTTCAACTCCAACTATCTGAAGAAAATCATCTCCTACTGGCAGAATGAATTTGACTGGAAGAAGCAGGTGGAGATTCTCAACAGATACCCTCACTTCAAGACTAAGATTGAAGGTATGTTTCCCCAACACCAGCACTGACGAAGCACCCACTGCATGTCAGCTACTCATGATCTCACGCAGTCCGTGCAGCATGAGGATCATTGTTCAGGGGACAGATGTCATAGGGATGGCCTTCTTAGACACTGGATGTGACTCAGACCCAGAATCCAATCACTGGCCATTGAGATCAATTTATAAGGCATGACACTACCAGGATTCAGAAGTAATGCAAAATCCCAACTAACTCAATGGTCTTAAGAGCTAGACAGGAAAGCATATCCTTAATTTAAAAACCAAAGAAAGGTAGTATCCAGTCCAGTGATAGAACAGTCTCTGAGAGGAGGGAGAGCTCCACCCCTGCTTGAGGTCTTGGCATCTGTAGTGTCACAACTATTTAAGGGTCATCAGCCTGTCAGTCAGGGGCCTAAGAAAAACTGTCCTGTCTGTGTGCAGCTCTAGACCTCATGTCCCACAGGGTGTCACACAGCTTCACCAGGAAGAGAAGGTATCTCTCAAAATGTTCTTGGGAAGGTAACCTCAAGATCGTTTGGGATGAGGTAGTAGTTTCCTTAGGAGAAAAGCATTTTCCCCCAGTTTTTTATTGAGAAATAATTGACACACATCACTCTGTAAGTAAGGCATCCAGCATGAAAGTTTGATTCACACACATCATGAGATGATTCCCACAACAGGATCAGCTCACACCCAGCATCTCATAGAGACACAATAAAAAGAAAAGAAAGTAGAAAGAAAAAAACTCTCCTTGTGAGCAGAACTCTAGGATTCACTCTTTTAACAAGTTCCCTGCACGTCACACAGGAGTGTGGGCTCCAGTCACTGAGCTGGGCATTACAGCCTCATGCTTATTCATCTTCTACCCTTGACTGCCTTCCTCCAGTTCTCCCTCGCCCACCCTCCACCTCTACTAGCCATAAGTCTGATCTCTTTTTCTATGAGTTTGGTCGTGTTTTTTTAGATTCCACATATAAGTGAGAGAATACGGTATTTGTCTTTTTCTAACTTATTTCACTTAACATAATATCCTCTCTGTCCATCTATGTTGTCACAAATGGTAGGATTTCCTCATCTGTTATTGCTGAATAATCCATTCATCCATCAGTGGACACTTAAATTGTTTCCTTGTCTTGACTACCATAAATAATGCTGCAGTGAACATGGGGGTGCAGACATTCTTTCAAGTTAGTGTTTTCATTCCCTTCAGATAAACACCCAGAAGTGGCTTATATGGTAATTCTATTTTTTTGGTGGGGGGGGATCCTGCATACTGTTTTGATAGTGGCTGCACCAATTATATTCCCGATAGCACACAAATACTCTCTTTCTCCACATCCTGGCCAACATTTGTTGTGTCTTGTCTTTTTGATAATAGTCATTCTAACAGGTATGAGGTGACATGGCATCGTGACTCTGATTTGTGACATTTCCCTAATGACCAGTGATGTGGGGCATCTTTGCATGTACCTGTTGGCCTTTCATGTATCACCTCTGGAAAAATGTCTATATTAGCCCCTTATCAGATAAATGGTTTGCAAACACTTTTTCCTATTCCATAATTCTCTTTTTATTTTGTTGATGATGTCCTTTGCTGTGCAGAAGCTTTTCAGTTTGATGTTGTCCCCTTGTTTATTTTTTGTTTCTTGTGCTTTAGGTGTCATAGCCAAGAAATCATTACCAAGATTTATGCCCAGGAGCATAAATGTTTTTGTCTAAGAGTTTCATGGTTTCAGGTTTTACATTTAAGTCTTTAATCCATTTTGAGTTACTTTTTGTGAGTGATATAAGATACGGGTTTAGTTTCATTCTCTGACATGTGAATATCCATTTATTCCAACACCATTTATTGAAGAGACTGTATTTTCTCTTGGGTATTCTTGGCTCCCTTATCAAATATTAGTTGACGTATATGCTTGAATTTATTTCTGGGCTCTCGATTCTGTTCCATTGGTCTGTTTGTCTGTTGGAAAAGCATTTTTAACCCCAGAAAGATTTAGAATCAAATATAGAAATGCTTAAGAAAATCAAAATCATACTATTTTTAAAATTTATGTATTTTTTACCATTTTAACTATTGTTAAGAGTACATTGCTAAATGTAGTGCTACAATTCAGTGGCACTAAGTACATTTACACTGTTTGCAACCATCACCATCATCTATCTTCAGAACGTTTTTATTTTGCAAAACTGAAGTTCTACCCATTAAACAGTAACTCCCCATTCCCACCTCTCCTGAACCTCTGGAAATCACCATTCTACTTTCTGTCTCTATGAATCTAAGTATGATTTCTGTATCTAAATACATCATAGGAGTGCAATCATATAGTATTTGTCTTTTTGTGACTGGCTTATTGTACTGAGCATAATGTCCTCAGGATTCATCCATGTTGTAGCAAATACCAGAATTTCCTTCCTTTTTAAGGCTGAACAATATCCCATTGTATGGGAATGGTGTATTTTATTTATCCATTCATCCAGTAGTGAGCGCTTGGGTTGCTTCAGCCTTTCAGTATGTTTAAAACCAGAGGCAAGGGCACTAAAGGGCTGTTTGCCTCCTGAATGCTGTGAGCTTGGGAAAGCCTCACCCTAAGGCCCATCTGGGGAGCCTAAGGACACTGAATGTTCATAACACACGACCTCTCTCAGGTACCAGTGTCCCAAAACTGAGTTTGTCAGAGACTGCAGACCCACACGTGGTTCAGTCACATCCCCTGGCTGGTGTGCCAGCTGATCTGTCCCTAGAGGGCACATTCCTCCTGGGGGACTGTCCCTGTGGGTCTCAGTCCTCCTGCTGGCCAGGGTTCCGAGGCCGTCTGCCCAGTCTCCACAGTGCCGAGCTGGTCACTCCACCCCCAGCCCGGCTCCACAAGCCATTAACACAGCCTTGCTCCTGCTTACTCTACATTTGCTGCCTCCTTCTCCCTCACATTTTTTTGGACCTTTTCAGGGTCCTGTCTGCACTGCACTGACCCCTGAGGTCCAGATTGCTCAAGACTCAACTACTGACACCCTCTTGTTCTGCCCTCATCCCCATTGGCCTCATTCCTGGGCCTGCCTGCTCCTGTCACTCCTCTGTTCTGTGGTGAGCTTCTGGCTCTCACCCATGTCCTGGGCCTCCCACTGCAGCCTAGTCTCTGTTCTCAGACAGAGTGTGCAGGGCCTTCAGAGGCCTCGGGCAGGCCCAACCCATCATCTGAGAGCCCTTGAGGTCCAGGGCCAGAACCCTGCTCTCCATACTCTCAGTCTGTCCCTTTCTCCTTCACTTCTGGCCACTGTTCTACCTCAGGCTCTGGCTCACCACCAGCCAAGCCCAGTGCTGCCTTCTGAGCCCCACTCAGAACCTCCTTGATTCTGACCCAGCAGCTTGGGCGTGGAGCCTCCTGCCAGCACCACATACTTACAGGGGAACCAGGAGACCATTTCCTCCTCAAAGTAGGGTGGCCTTATAGGGAAAATTAGGAAGTATGGGCTCTTAAAATTTTTCTTAATTTTCAAAATTCAAATTTTAAAATTCATAAACTACAGAAGAACACACAGTGAAAAGAAAGTCTCCCTCCGGGCCCTCCCCTGTGTCCCACCAGGGAGCATATGCTACTCTTAAGGACACCCTCCCAGGGATAACCCAAGCACCCACAGCCATGTGTGTGTGCCTGCTGTTTTCCTAAATTCAAACTCAAAAGTTAACATGATAGAATTTGAATAAAAAATAATTACATCCTGCAGTGCTTACCAAAGGAGGTAAGATTACCTCCTAAAATAAACTTCAGAATAGGAGTAAATTTGGCAACACAGAAGGACACCCAGGATATATTAAGTGAAAAAAAAATAAGGTCGAAAATAGAATGTATGCAGGGTTCTATTTTTGTTAAAAGAAAGTTGTGTTCTCTAAGTATTTTTAAAAAAGAGTCTAAACTGTCACAGTCAAGAGGAGCCTAGGCAACATGACTACTACATGGAATGTGGTCCCTGGATGGGGTCCAGGAAGCCAGAAAGGACTTTGGGCAAAAACTAAGGATATCTGAGCAATTCTCCATTGTCAATATTATTTAGCCTTTAAAAAGGAAATCCTGCAATGTGTGACAACATGGCTAAAGTGTGAGAACATTACACTCAGTGAAATAAGCAAGGACAAATACTGCATAATTCCACTTATTTGAGGTATGGAAATTGTCAAGCTCACAGAAGCAGAGAGTAGAATGGTGGTTGCTGAGGGGTGGCAGGTGGGGGAAGCCGGGAATTGGTTCAGTGTGTGGACCGTCTGCTATGCAGGACAATTAAGTTCTGGAGATCCACTGTCCAACAACGTACCTATAGACAAGACTGTATTACACATTGGAAATTTTGTGAAGAGGATAAGTCTCATGTTAAATGTTCTTACCACTATAAAATTTGAAAACTTTTTTAAAAAACTTAAGGAACAGTGAATTAAACATGGGCTTCAGTTATTAATGTATTAGTATTGACTCATATGTTGTAACAAATGTATCTTACTAAAGTTAACCTTAAAGCTGTCAGTTATTGTACCAACAAAAATGGGTGTGTTCCAGGAACAGCACAGAACAGCAATTTAGGATGAGCAAAGTACAGCAAAGCCACAAGCCCAGCCAGAGAACAGGGGAGAGGAGGCTCCTCTATAGAGGAAGGGGTAGGGGCTGTTTTAAGCAAAAAGCCCATTGGAGGAAACTGGGAGTCCTCCATGTCATGGCTGCTCATTGGCTGAGTTTTGACAGTCTTTCAGTGGCTGGGCCATTGCCAGGCTATTGCTGAGTGAGGCAGAAACTCTTCCCACCTCCTACTGGGCAGTAAAGAAGCCAAAATAGTTTGTGTTGTAAGGTGTCTGCCTTCCTTTGGGGTCAGCAACTGACTAGGAGTTGTGGACATGAGAGCTGCCCTGCAGGCCTCCTGATGCCATGGCAGTGAGGTTCTCTTTTATCAGTTCCCACACTAACGTAAGATCATAGGGGAAGCAGTGCCGGTATATGGGAACTTATGTACTACCTTTGCTGTTTTTCTCTAAATCTATAATTGTTCCAAAATAACAAATTTGTTTTTAAATTATTAGGATGGACATCACAATGTTCTCTTGAAATAGTGATTTTTTTTCCCTTTTAATCTGTTTTCTACAGTAAACATGTATTATTTGTATAATAGGTTAACAGCAGACCAGAACTTAAGCTAGACCATACTGTCAACTTTGGCCCTCAGGTGTAGCAGCAGCCCTGGCCATGTTTGCCGTAAATGCCCAGGTGCTACCCAGGCCACTGCACCAGGAAGGGGTTGCTCCCAGAGGGACTGGTATCCATTCCTGCCCTTGGCTAGTATGATGTTCTGAGTGCCCAACACTCTACCTGAAACAATTTCTCCACTTAAAAAAAATGTTAACATTTAGTATATGTCCATTGTTGAAGAATTAGAAAGTATATATAACACAAAAAAGAATAATTCACTGGAAATTCTATTGCTCAGAACTTTTTCATTTTTGCAGTTTATCCTTCCAGACTTTAAAATTCATATACACACACTATAAACATATGCATACATATGATTGTTCACAGAAATTGGATCATACAATGGATATGGCTTGGTAATTTGGTTTCACCACCTAGCAATATATGTACGGAAATGTTTTCTGTGTTAAGTAAATATACGTCTATTCTGTAGCAAATAACTGTGTTGTATTACAGGACACTGTTAAACTATAATCTATTTCATTTTCTATTGCTGGATATATAGGGCTTTTGTCCCCCCATGTTTTGAATTATTACAAATATTCATGGAGTGCCACCATGAGCCAGGGATTGTTCTGGGCTGTGGGAACAACAGAGCTGGCCCCACAGAGCCTACATTCATTGTGAAAGGGGCATAGTCAGGGGACCTCCTGCAGGTCTAAGGGCTGGGCCGGAGTGCCATGTAGCCTGTAGTGGCACTTACTGCTGTGATGGGGCCATAGGGCCAGGGGATGGTGGGGCCAGGGGGTGGGAGGCCCCCTGCTGGCTCTGCCAGGTGCCCTGATGTATGATGAGACTTCAGCCTCCAAGCCTCGGGACCTTCTCCCCTTCCCCACACTGACTGCTGTGTCCCCAGGGCTGGACATCCACTTCATCCATGTGAAGCCCCCTCAGCAGCCCCGTGGCTGCACCCCAAAGCCCCTGCTGATGGTGCACGGCTGGCCTGGCTCCTTCTACGAGTTTTATAAGATCATTCCATTCCTGACTGAGCCCAAGAACCACGGACTGAATGATAAACACGTTTTTGAAGTCATCTGCCCTTCCATTCCTGGCTATGGCTTCTCAGAGGCCTCCTCCAAGAAGGGTAAGGGCCCTCCTCAGAGGCTGGGACAGCTTCTTTCAGAGCCTGGGGGGTTGTGGAAGGAGGTGCCTGGAACCCCAGAGCATCTTTGTTATGCCAAAGGGCGAGGGCCTAGCCAAGGAGCAGTCCCCACTGTTGGGACCAGGGCCTTCGACTCGTGCTCTCAGGCTTCTCTGCTGGGCAGCCCTATATCCAGGCACTGCACTGTTTAAGCCAGCAAAGCCACCAGCCTGGCCCACGGAAGCCTGTGGAGGCTGGTATGAGTCCAGCACACACCTCACAGTCCCTCTCCACCACGCCGCACACTGGTCCTCTCCCACGAGCTGCTGACATCTCAGCCTGGGGCCAGAGGTGGAAGGGACTTCACAGGAGACCACAGGACCCAGGGAGTGACCTCCCAAAGATGCTGTTCTCTTTTCCCCTTCATAACCAGGCTTGAACTCAGTGGCCACCGCCAGGATCTTTTATAAGTTGATGCTGCGACTGGGCTTCCGGGAATTCTATATTCAAGGCGGGGACTGGGGTTCCTTGATCTGCACCAACATAGCCCAGCTGGTGCCCAGGTGAGAGTGACCCTCAGGTGTGTGTGTGCGTACCCTCTACGAAGTGGATATCTGTGCAGGCAGGGCAGGGTCACCCAGGCAGGATGTTTGAAGCCCCAGGGGAGAGAAGGGGGTGGGGTCCCCATCATCTGGCTGTGCCTGGAGCTCTTTGACAGGGGCCCTGCCTCCACGTGTGCCACACAGCACTGGTGACTCTGCTTCAGGTGTGTGGGCAGAGGGCCACTTAGAGGAGGGGAAGTCAGAGAGTGGCCCTTTCTGACAGGCCAAGTCCTGGGAGAGGCCTGACCAGAGCTTTCTAGAGACTCTTGTGTTTTCCCCCCAACCCCATCCTCCCTGTCACTTAGCAACCCAGATGGGCAGAGGCTGAAGGGGAGGAGCTGTGTTCCTCAGCCCCATGGCCTCCACCTCCACGTCACCCTCCCTACCTGACTGACGCCAGCCCTGCCTCACATGGCCCCTCTCTCTGCCTTCAGCCATGTGAAAGGCCTGCACTTGAACATGGCTTTCGTTATACGAAATTTCTACATCCTGACCCTTGCCTTGGGACGGCATTTCCCAAGGCTTTTTGGCTTCACCAAGAGGGACGTGGAGCTGCTGTACCCCGTCAAGGAGAAGATTTTCTACAGCACACTGAGGGAGAGCGGCTACATGCACATCCAGTGCACCAAGCCAGACACCGTGGGTGAGTGCTGGGGCCTCTCCACTGCGGGGAGTGGGGGATGGGGTGCACCCATTCTGGTCAGCAAGGCTCCCACTGGGGAAGCCTACCCACCCTCAGGAACACTGCCTGCAGGAGCTCTTGGACCCTTACATGCATTTCTCTGTAGAAGTAACTTAGTGCATAGTCATCCAAACCCAAATGACTCCATTCAGCTGATTCAATATTTATAGTGACCCTCGACCCTTGATCCCTCCACTCCAAGCCTAAATCCTACAGTAAGAAGCAGAGGGACAGGGAGGAGGAAACCTGGGGGCTTGGCAGCTTTGGGACTGAGTGGAGTGTAGGAGAACCCCAGCGCCTTGGAAGGGAGTTCCCCACAAGCACTGATGGGGAACCAGAAACCATTCCTGATTCCAGGGCCTGTTAAAGGATCTTTTTAAAAGAAAAAATAAAATCATGCAAATATAAATATAAAATGAACCTGTGTCAGAGGTTTCGACTTATTAACTGAAATACAATTCTTTGATGCCCAGACCCAGGGACCCTTCAGTTTGAAGTATGCTACCCGTACAGCATAGGAACCCCATGAAGCACTGGGTCAGCACTGTGTCCCACCACCGCGCCCAGACCCCCTTCTTCCGGGCAGCAGGGTCCCTAGTCCCAGGCCTGAGCTCCTCCCTTGTTTCCTTCCACACCAGGCTGTGCTCTGAATGACTCTCCTATGGGACTGGCTGCCTATATTCTAGAGAAGTTTTCCACCTGGACCAATGCAGAGTTCCGAAATCTGGACGATGGAGGCTTAGAGAGGTGAGACCCCATCCACCCCTGTAGTCAGCCCCGTCCTGTCAGCCCCCTTGCTCACTCATCCTTCCCCTGTTCCCCAGCCTCATCTCTGACTGCTCTGTCTGGGTGGGATGGTCAGCAAGTTCCATCTGTTGTTGGATGACCCACACATCCTCACCCTGTGACTAGCATAGCCTCAGTTTCTAGGTGAGGAGACTGAGACACAGAGAGGTCTGCTGATTGGCTCCAAGCTTCACAGTGGAGTGGTCAAGAGCAGAATGGAGGGCTGGAGACCATCTGCTCTGATTGACAGACACTCCTGGGATTAGGAAGTCCATAGAGCAGGAAGCACCCCTTTATTGCCAAAAGGCAGCAGGAGCAAGGCCTCTACCTCCTGACCTGGCAGCCTGGCCTCCTGGCCACCTGACCACATACACTGTGGACACTAATCTTGGAAGTAGCTGCAGCAACTGGGGAGCCTTTTAGGCTGCAGCCTCTGTGGCTCAATACTCCCAGGCCCCTGGCCCAATGCAGGCTTCATCAGGTCAGCCCTGACCTGTCTTCTCCAGGCCCATCATTTCTTTATTCCTTTATTCCAGTGACATACAGACCACCTGTCACAGTGCTGGGGTAGGGAGTAGTGATATAGACTGCACCCCACCTAGCTACAGAACAGTCAGGCACATAGTAGATACTCAATAAATATTTATGGATAAATGAGTTCTAAAGATACATGTAAAGGACTGTGCGAGTCCAGAAAAAGGAGGTTTTGCTGTGTCTATGGGGCAGGGAAAGGGAATGACAGAGAGAATCTGTTTGAGGCAGCAGAGGTGGAGGTTGGTCGGGTAGAGGATGAGCCGGGCAGCATCAGAGAGGAAGTGCAAACCCAGGGGGCACATCCATGGACACTCAGGTGGACAGCTGGAGGCCATGGAGGGCTCCGGGGACTCTAGGGTGACAGAGCCCAGCACCAGGATGGGGAGAGAGACAGACAGGCAGACAGGGCCAGGACACTTGCCCAGGCTCCAACAGTGAGAGCCAAGTGACTGCTTCCTCCTGGAATGTGGGGCCCTGCGGCCTGGGTGGGGTCCACCTGCTTCCCAGTCCCAGGCTGGAAAAAAAGGGGTATCCCATGCCCAGTGGGAGGTCTCTGCAGGGTCCCCATGGCTCCCTCCAGGATGACACAAGTCTGGCAAGCTAGGGCCTGGTGAATAAAAGTGCTTCAGGAGCTGCCAGCCCTGCTGCTACTGGTGCCTGGCCAGAGCAGGTCCAGGGAATCCAAAGGCTACTTGGAGAGCAGGTTCTGCCTAGGGACTGGCAGGGCCAGGCCCAGCCAGGGTTTAGGGGACAGCTGGCCTATACTTAGGTCCCAGGGGTAGGCTCCCACATTTGCGCAGCATTTGCAGCATCCTACTCACCTCCTAGATACCCAGCAGTGATCAGCCCAAACTCTCTGCACTCCCACCCTCACCCCTCCACCTGCTGTTTCCCACCTGGGTTGAACCTCTGGGAGCAGGTGGAGGAGGGAGTAAGCTGCCAGCACCGAGGGTGATTGCGGAAACCAGCATAGCCAGCCTCATACAGGTCAGCACTCTGCACTGCCTGTCATCCTGGCAGCTGGTGACCCTGGGCCAAGCCTGTCTGTGGCCGGGGGCCTGGCACATGCTTGGAGCCTGAAAGTGGCAGCTCCTGTTTGCTATACAAATATCCCTGGCTGACAGTGGCCTTCCGGTTCTGCTTTCCCAGGAAGTTCTCCCTGGATGATCTGCTGACCAACATCATGCTCTACTGGACAACAGGTACCATCACCTCCTCCCAGCGCTTCTACAAGGAGAACATGGGTCAGAACTTCTTGGCCATCCAGCATGAACGGTGAGCCACCTGAGCAGCAGCTTCTGAGGAGCGGCTCCAAGACAGAGTTTTAGGGGCAGGGTGTGATCAGGACCTGGTCTTAAACTAAAGGGAGATTGTTTGATAGTGGAAAAGTACAGCCTTGCCTGTGGTGTGCACAGGAGTAATTTGCGATTTTTACAGAGATCAGGACTATTCAGAGAAACCTTTTAAAGTCAGCTCATGGAGTTGACTGGCCCCCAGACACCTCTCTGGACCTCTCCCAGGAACAAGAGGCTGGCCTGGGCTGCCCGGATAGTTCTGGGGTTCCCTCCTGCCCTTTCTAAATCTTATAAGGAAACACTCAGGTGGCAGCCAAGGGAAAAGAACCAGAGAGGGCATTTAGAGACTTTCCCATCACACTGTGGCTGTGTTCTCCAGCCTGGGCTGCCCTTCCAGGGAGGAGGCCCTTAGTGGGTTGGAATTGAGGGGGAAGAAGGATGAAAGCTCTGGGTCTTTCTCTTCATGGCTCCATGTGGGTGGACAACCTGACCCACCCCAGGCCCAAGGCCCCTGCTGTGGGGTGCAGGTGCAGGCGCAGCTCTCAGTGGAGTCTGTCCCTTCCAGGATGAAGGTCCACGTGCCCACAGGCTTTGCTGCCTTCCCTTGTGAGTTACTACACGTCCCAGAAAAATGGTTGAAGGTCAAGTACCGGAAACTCATCTCCTATTCATACATGCCCCGTGGGGGACACTTCGCTGCCCTTGAGGAGCCGGAGCTGCTTGCCCGGGACATCTGCAAGTTTGTGGGGCTCCTGGAGCGGCAGTGAGCACGGGTCCAGCTCCCTCGCTGATACCTGCCCTTTTATCCAAAGTCCCAGTGCCTTTGCCCGCTCCCGTGGCAGCAGGCTGACGGGAAGACCCCCTTCTCCCCACAGCCTGGCTTTGCGAATAAAGGGCTTTATTTTTGAAAGCAGCTGGAACCCAGACACTGGTGCCCCAACGCCGTGGGGGCGTCCTCCCCGCAGAACCACCTTCCGGGCTGGGGAAGAGGGCCCGCGGGCTCAAGGTGCCCTACGTGCGTCCCGGCACCGGGTTGAGGCTGGAGGCAGGTCCGCGGAGGCAGGCCCACCGCGCCAAAAGGGCCTCGGGGAGAGAAAAGGAGCCAGCTGCCTGCTCTCAGCGTGGTGCCAGGCCCACCCCAGCCCAGCTTCCGCCCCCCACGCCCCACCGCTGCCCCAACCCCAACCCTCCTGCATCTGGCTCCAGCTGAGCCCTGCCTCTCCACGCCCGGTCCAGACCCTCCCATTACGCGGCCCCGCCCCACCCCAGACCCCAGCTGCACACCCCAGGCTCTGCCAGTTCTCTGGCTCCGCGCTGACCCTGAGCACAGCACCTGCCTCCACCTGGGGCAGGTAAGAGTCAAGGGCTGAAGTCGGAGCCCCACGCACGGCCCTGAAGAGGCAGGCGAGGCTGCATCCCTCAGGTCTGGATGAATGGGCACTTTATTAGTGGTCCTCACTGCTCCTGCCTACCGCAGGGTGACTCTGACCCAGCCAAGTGTCATTGGAAACATGATACAGGAACAACCAGTGAGGATGTGGAGGGGTGTGTGTAGTTGCTGCTTCCTGTTCCCCCAAGCTCAATCCTGGGGCAGGGGGTGGGGGAGTGCAGGGTGAATGGCTTAATTTGGGGCAGGGGCACTGGAATGAACCTGGACCCCATCTGGGGCCCATCTTAGGTTAGCCATGTGTTCCTAGAGAGGGCTGGACTACACTTGGGGCTCAGGAGAAGGGAGGTCTTCCCCTCCTTAAAGGTGTGCAGGGGCACTGTTCCAACACCTGGTCTTGCTAAAAGTCACTGGGAACTTCATGCCAACCACAGAGGTTGAGCAGGAGAGGGAATTGGAAATATGCAAGTAGGAGCCAGAGCTGCCCCTGCTCCCGTCACTGTTGTTGTGACTGGAAAAGACCACCCCCGGATGGAAGTCCTTCTCCCCCACCAATCTCAGCCAAGGGCTATATCGCTTCTCTGGTTCCATCTTTTCGGAGCAGTTGTGCTTAACATAGATGGAAAGTCCTGAACTTGACAGAGGTCAAAATCAAGCTTCTTCTCCACCTGTGTCTCCTCTGGTCCTAGCATCGCCGCCCTCAGACCTCCTGGTAGGCAGCCGCCTCACTGTCTGCAGGGGTCTGGGCCAGGCACTGCCCCAGGACAGCCCCACTGATGTTGTGGATGGCACCATAGGTCTGCTGCTGCAGGGATAGGGCTGTTCTCTCCGAGGACAAGCTGTTTAAAATCCGGGGCACGTAGGGCTGCCAGCAAATGGGCGCATTAGTGCTTGGGTGGGGTGGGCATGAGATTCTGTATCCCATTCTCCCCTTCTGCCTCTCCTCACTGGAGGACACACCATGCTCAAAAAGGACACATAAAGAAATAACGGCATCAACTCAGAACATCACCCCATAAAATATGTCAACTGCAGAATTTCCTAGCAACCAGAGCAAAACAGAAAACACAGTTAAATGGTTCTCATGGTCACAGAGAAGGAAGCATATCTATCTCTCAAAGGAGACAAAACTTTTCCTGGCATTGGAGTCTAGGAGCCTTCCTCTTCATATGGGCAACAGGCCTCTCTACATAGGGCAGGCCTCGAGTGTAGTCAGTGGGACCTCCGTGGAGCTGAGCGAGTCTATGTAGGTTGTTTCCTCCCAAGCCCAGGCCCCAGCTGCCCACTGGACAGAGCCCTCCTCTGTTCCTCCCCAGACCCAGGCTGAGGAGGAGGGATGTACACCCTCCACCTGCCTGATTCCTCCCTTGTCTAGCAGGCATGGTCACAGGTGTGCCCAAGGCTAATGCATCTTTCTGAGAATCTTCTCTGGGGCTGGTCCAAGGACAGACACTGATAAGAGTGCCTGACACCTGGGAGGCAGCCACTGGGAAGCAGGCTGCTGACGGGATTGGCCACTGTCCTTGCCCCGGCTCTGTCAGGAAGGCTGGCGGCCCAGCTCTGGGATCCCATGGCTCTGTTTCCTTTCCCAGCACCCCTTGGGGCAGGTCCCTGGAATCTGGAAGGAGGGAGAACCAGAAAGGAGAGGCATCCTGGTATCTTTCTAATATGGTGCCCTCCTCCAAAGCAGCTGCAGTGTTTATTTGCAGAATTTAAAGGGGCACTAGTTTGACATTCTGCTGATGCCTGGCGGAGGGCCTCACACTGGCAGGTGCTGATGAAACATTCAGGATAAAGCTTCATCAAACCACAGGGCCTGAATGCCCACACTCCCCAGGCATTAAATATGCAGAGAAAGAAAGTGATCAGGGAAGTGAAACCAAGGGGGATGGGCAGACATGGAGGCAAAATTAACTCTCTTCTCAGTGATGGATGTAGCTTCACAAATGCAATGTAAAACATCCAGAGGTACCAGAGATTCCTTCTCAAGGTACATTAATTCAGAACCTTGCCTGCCATGGGATCAAGGGACTTCTATCTTAGCAAGAAAAGGTCAAAGCTAGTCTGCAGGGTCCTTCTAGTTGGAACCACTGCACTTAGGGAAGGCAGCATCTTACCGTGAAGGGTGGAGGCTCGCGGGCCTCTGCCTCACTTCCTTTGTCATTTGCTGATTCCTCTGTCTGCAGATAACAGCAAAAACTTGCAGTGATAAACAAAACTGATCTTCCTGCTACCACCCTCCAAACAAACAGACTATTAACACCCAGAATAATAGTACCAGCTGGCACCAGGCTCCCAGCAGCAGCCCAAGGTGTGGCACAGTGCAGGGAGCAGGGGAGGGGGTAGGAGGGAAGCCACATTTGCACCCAACTGCCCATGCCTTTTCCAGGGATGAACAAAATCTGGAGGTGGCTGTTGATCTGCTACCTGTAGAGGTGGAGGAGGTGGAGCACCAGCCCACCAGCTTCTCCCAGGTCCCAGCTGGGCTGCGGTGCAGGGAGGGCCCTTTACCTTATAGTTCAGAGGGCACAGGTGCCTGAAGCAGCTAAAGCAGGTGTAGGCCACACAGAACAGGATGGTGAGTAGCACAACCAGGAAAGTGAACAGCGTGGCAGGGGCCTTCAAACCTGGGGACGAAGGGGTGCCAGTCTTGGCAGGGGGCGGGGTCTGCCCTGCCAGCACTCACCTTCACCCTGCTGAGGAAGAGCCACACCTGGTTCGGCAGCTGTGAGATTTCTCCCTCAGGCATAAAATAAAGAGAAGGCACCAACTCCTATCCCTCCAGCAGCTGGGATGGGGTCTTCATAGACAAAAGCATACAGTGACCCATTGGACAGCTGGCATTTATCCCTGGCCAGAGTTCAGGTTCAACGGCAATTTGCCAGCTTCCTTGCTGGGTGAGTTCTCTCCAGTCTCCATGCCCTGGGCTAGGTAGGATGGAGCTCCCCCTCCCCCCCACACACACCTGACTGGGGAGAGCCACACATCTCTTCTGCCTTTTTCTTCTTCTCAAGAGTGTCAGTTTTCCCTCCCACATGTCCCACCTCCTCTATACTGTGAAGTGTGAAGACCTGGATCCACTGACACCACAAAGAGCACTCTGGACCAACTTCCCCACCTCTAGTTCCCTCTTCATAGCTGATTAAGGAAACATCTTCTCTATAAACCTGGATTGGACAATCAATCTGGACTTTACCAAGTTACACTTGAGCTTGGGCTAGCATGGGAACTGGGCTGCACCCAACTGGCCCTCACCCTGGATACCACATTTTGATTGGACACCCAACCAGCCTCACCCTGAGTACCACGTTCTGATTGGACACCTAACCAGCCCTCACCCTGGCTCCCGGCTTCTGATTGGACACTGAGTTGATGCTATTAAAGCAGGGAAGGATTTGACTTGCAGTGTGGATGCCGGAATGTGAGGTGAGGGCTTCCTCCTGCCCCCACCCCCACCCTAGGCAGGAGAGCCCTCACCCAGGCGCAGGAAAGAGAAGAAGAAAAGCCAAAAGAGGCACAGGATGGGAGCGGCCAAGGCCTGGTGCACAGCTGCAAAGTGGATCCCCTTCTCCAGCTTGGCCGGGAGGTAGACAAAGTAGAGGTTGTGCCGGTCCACCATGTGCTTGAGCAGGATATAGATGAGGCCTGCAGAGATAAGGCTGTGAGCTGGAGACCTCCTGGCCACAAGGACCCCTGCCCACTTCCTCTGGGGTGGCTGTGCCTGGGGCTGGCACTGCTTTCAACTGAGGAGCTGAAGCCGATAGCATGACTTGATGGTTGCTCTGGTGCTTGCTCTGGCACGTGCTCGCTCTCTCCCTCTTCTTTCTCCCTCCCTTCCACCTTCCCAGCCTCTTTCTGGCCTGAAGGAATAGAAGTGTCTGTGATTCTGTCCTCATGGAACAGTGAAATTCTAGTATCATTTTAGAAAAAAAGGCCATTTTACACCCAGATGCTTGGCCTTCACTTCTCCCTAGGCGCCTCCAGGCTGGGACCCCCACTCTCCACTCTCCTTCCCTTCTCCCACCCAGGCTGACCCCCTCACTGATAATAGTCAATAGATGCCTGAGGCTGCCACAAGGGATGGGTGCTGTCTTTTCTTATGTTAGTTTCTTTAAAAATTTTTTGTTGTGTGAAAGAGTAATACTGTGGATTCTTAAAGTAGCAGGAGAGTGTGTACAGGGAAAACTAAAACTTCCTTGTACTCCTACACCTCAGGTATCCTGCTGACAGTGTCTTGGGTATTCTACTTCCTTCCAGAGTCTTCCATTGTCTCCCAGTTGCTGATGTTTTCTTTTAATTGCAAGACTTTGACCTTTAAACCAAGTGGTTCTAAGTTCAAATCCTGACTCTCCTATGAACAATGTATTAAGAGCTTCATCTGTGAAAACAGGGAACAACCAAGTTCTGCCTATACGGCAGTATGAGAAGTAAGTGGGATTACCCATGTGGAAAGCAACAGGCAACCAGCCAGAGAGCACAGCCACAAGAGCCTCAGTCACTACCTCCAGCACCTCTCAGCTGCTACTGGGGAACCAACCGAGAACAAAGTGGTCAGCTGGCCAAGAACCTCAGACCAGGACAAGTGCTAGGAGAGGCCGTCATGTGGAAGAAATTCAGGAGAGGCGAGATCACATTTGGGGTCACCTGTGGCTCCTCAGCAGCTTGTGGTTCTTGTGGCCACAGGAGGTCCTCTGTCTATGGGGCCCTGGTGATGGCTGTCTGGGACACTTGGCAGTGGGACCCACCTGCCCTGGGACCGCCCCCAGAGTCACTCACCGAATGGCGCGATGATGGGGCAGGTGATGCTGTAGGCCATGATGACGCTGAAGACACACAGTGTCCATGCGTACATGGCTCCAAACTCATACTCGAAGGCCTGGTTCTGGGAGGAGGAGGTGGTGAGGCACTTACGGCTTCATTTACCCCAGTCGTCCCACCCCAGTGCTCCTCAAGTAGAAAGGAGAGTGCAGGGTGGAGAAGGGCTCTGGAAATGGAGACACCCAGAACTGCCTCCTGAGGTCCTTTCTCTCCCTCACAATGGTCCGCAGATGGTAAAGTGACCCCCACCAGGCACTGCCTAAGACCGTGTCAGCTCTGCCCCTTGCGTCCAGGGCCCATGCTCTCCCTCCAATGGCCAGTCTGCCCTGCCAAGCAGGGGTACTGCAGGGCTCACCTCCGGAGCTCTCAGGAGTGGATGGAAGCATGCAGGCTTCCCAACTCTCCTCTACGGTGCCCACAATGGCCAAGGAAGGTGAATAGGGACCCCACCACCCAACTTCAAGAAAGCTTGCCCAGAGGCCTTTGACATCTGTGGTAATCTTAGGAACTTATGCCAGTGTATGCCCATGGAAAAGGAGCATGTTGATTTTAGTTGTATGTGTGCAATGTGACCAGTTAAGGTGCAAAACTGTGAACTCACTCCTGAAGCTGTGAGCAAGCGTGGAGAGCTATGGAGATGGGCGCGTTCATGCAGCACTCCTGCTGTATCCCCGCTAGGATGCACTGGGCACAGAGCTAGGCCCTGGCAGGGGACAGTGGGGCTTTCCCACCAGCTGTACCTGCTTGACATGCCTGCGGTCAGCTGCCGTCTTGGCCACGATCATGCGGAAGGTGTAGAGGATGAGGCCAGGCAGCCGCAGCAGCTCCATGCCATTGCCGATGAAGGCCGAAGCAATGATGTAGTTCACGAAGAAGGCACCCTGGTCTGGCAGGAAGACGCACCTGGGGAGCGGGTGGGCTGAGAGCTGGGAGTGCCTCTTCCGCGGAATGCGAAGGCTGGGCATGCAAGAGCAGAAGCCAGAGGCCCCATGTGGCCCCTTCGTGAGCCCGGCCGGCTCCAGGCTCCTCTGCCTGCTCTCACAGGCCCACAAGCCAAACGTGAGGCCTGCCAGGTGCTGAGTACCACACGGAGACAGAGGGTGGCGCAGGGCATGCTGATGAGCACGGATGTGTATGGGATGGGAGAAGGTAAGAGTGAGTCACCTGGAAACCTGGGAGAGAGCATCCCAAGCGGGGGGTCAACAGATCATGGCTGTCAGGGGAGGCACCGGGCCATCAACCATGCCCGGTGGGGAGCTGCAGGTCAGGGAGCGGGGGGGGGCCCCATGTGGGAGGTTGGCCCCTGAGCTGCCCCGACTGCAGGAGGGTCCCGGGCAGGAGACTGAGGGGGTGCTGTGAAGGGGGCCGGAACGGTGGGGTACTGGGTCTGTCTGTGAGGGTGTGTTTTGCGGAGGAGCCGTGTGGCGTGGGAGGGAGAGAAGGCAGGAACTCCAGGGCACTTGTGCCAGAAACAGTCATGGCTGGGGGCAATTGTGGGAAGAGCAGAGCTGGGGATAAAAGTCAGGAGTTTGATTTGGGGCACTAAAGTCTGAAATGCCCATTAGGACCAGGATTGCAGCCAGGAGAGGCTACTGGAGCTGGACGTGCAACAGCCATTCTAACTCAAGAGTACCAAGGTTGCCTTGAGGGAATGTGGGAGAGGACCCAGGGCTGAGCCCGCAGGTGGTGATACACAGAGCCTGGGGGATGCAGGAGAACCCGCCCAGTGGGTGAGGAGCAGACGCGTGTATGGGAGAACCAAGATGAGGTCTGAGCGGAGTGAGGACAGCCTTTCAGGGAGGACAGCAGGGTTAGCACCCCAGGTGGTGCAGGGATAGGACATAGGATGAGGCCTGGGAGCCGACTTGCACATGGCAGTCTGGAAGTCACTGGCATCCTAGAAAGAGCTGGCTCGGCTGTGTCTTCCTGTGGCTACCGCCCCCAAGTCCTCTGCTCATCCAGCCAGAGACCATTAAACTTCACCCTATCCTTCCAAGTAAGCATAGCCAGCCTTCCCTATAGCAGTGCTTTGGAAAAGTCAATCCCAAGACCTAGGGATTTATTAGGAACTATAGCACAATGGGGTCTGAGGTTGAATCCCAGCTCTGTCTCTTAACTAGCTGTGTAAACTTAGGCAAGTTATTCAACATCTCTGGGCCTCAGTCTCATCTGTAAAATAGAAATGCTAATAGTAATATCTACTTCATAGCTTGTTGTAAAGTTTAATTGAGAAAAAGAATAAAGCATTTAGCATAGAGCCTTCTTAAATGATAGGTATTACTATTAAATGTTGTGGTTCAAGCTGCAAACACCAAAAGGACACGTGTCAGAAAGAAGTTTAACTCCATTCTCCCAGCAAAGATAACCCAGCCCAGGCAGGCATCCTGGTCACACTGTAATTATTCTCTCCCCTCCGGGCACCAGCGACTTTCAGCAGTTCTTCTCCCCTAGTGGCTCTGTTTTCAGTAAGTAAGTTTCAGAGATTGCCGCTAATGGGAGTGTGATCCCAAAAGATTAACCACCTTTCTGCATGCATGGCACAAAGTGGGGCAGCTCCCCCAGGGCAGCCACAAGCTCTGCCTGGCCCCCGCCCAGCCAGGCCCTGGAGGTGGGAAGCCCTAGGCCCTGCGATCTCCATCTCGGGGAAGGAAGATACTGGCTCTGAAGCACAGACAACCCTCCCCTCCATGCAGCCCCAGCCTGAGCCCCTGTGGGGCATTGACCCAGGGCCTTGGCCCCAAATCTCAACATGGCTGGCCAATACTTACTCCAGCCTGATAGAGGTCTCTGAAGAAGTTTTGTCAAAGAGCCACCGGAAGAAAAAATCCAAACTGAAAAGAAAAATGAATCCCATAAGAATTTATTCCAACACTCCATGTGATCACTACGTTTTCACTTTTCTCTAAAATGCCACTAACAACAGTGTAACTGATCAGGGCCTGCTTCAACAGAAACTTCCTTCCTTGAAGTAAACATTCATGATTAGACCCTCCCTCTGAGTGGAAGACCCCTGATAGGAAGGTTTTCAAGCTTTTTTTTTAAAGGAGAGATCATATCTCCAGAGAGTCAATGGGCCAGCACAAGGGCCCTGCACGTGGGTGTGATAGGTTTCAATGTTGTTTAGGGATTTGCAAACACTCCGGAAATGTTTCCATTTCTCCTGCACACAGCCCTCCAGATGTGACCCTGATTCTGAATTTAAAGCAGGAATTGGGGGGTGTACCTGGTGAGACCCAGGGAGGGCAGGATCAGCACCATGAAGATCAAGAATATGTAGACCTTGGTCACCATGGTCCGGTTTTCCCCTGACCTGGAGGGAGTCAGAGGTGAGCCCTCGCGTCCTGCACATGCTCCGGCTGTCTCCAGAAAAGCCCCTGCTGTGTGCCCACTGCCCTGGGGGGGATGCCCTCTCCCGGGCACTCACTTGGTCCAGTGAGACTCCAGCAGTGTGGAGTAGTAGACGATGGTGGGGAGCAGGGCAGAGAAGGACCACAGCAGGAGTGTCGGAAAGAACTGGCTGATGACTGGGTCCTGGAAAATGAAGTCCACACAAGAGCGAGTGGAAGGGCTGTGAGCCACGGAGGCTTTGAGGGCATTACTGCTGGCATGGCAACTCAATGAGCTCCTGAGGTCAGATTTTAGTCATCCTTGACCCCCAGAACTACTACCGTGCCTGCTTCTGAGTAGGTGTTTCATAATGCTGGACAAATAGAAAAGACAGCAACTTCACATACCACCAAACTCCACCTGCCCTACTGGCCAGAAAGATAACCTCCTCCCTTTATTACAGAAAACTGGCCCCTCCCCGGCTGTCCTGCCCATCCAGCTCCCACTGCTTCAGGGATGCTTCAAGCCTGTCTGTGCCCCTTATACTTACTATGTAATCACATGATCTGAATACTTTCCCTGATAAAATGATCATAACAATAGAAAATTTCTTCAAAAACTGAGTTGGATACTATGTTAAGACTTGATAAAGGCTAATTTGTGAAAAATGCTGTTCAATTAGAGAAGAGTAACACAACTGTGAAAGGAGGAAATAAAACCTCAGAGGGCAGTATACTTAGACTGGCTTAGAGTCTTTAAATTATTGCTTTACTGTAAGAAATCTAAATTGGAATGGCAAACAATGAACTAAGGGTGTGGTTTAGGTAAAATACACAAAGGGGAACTCTACTCAGGTCTGTCATCCAAAGAACAAGCCTTGACATATATCAAGACTGACACAAGAATGAACATTTACATGCTTTAAATCTAAACCAAACTGCTTAATTGATACTATTTTTTATTATGGGTTGAATCAGAGAAGAGAGCTTTAACCCACAGTACCTCCTATGATCATCATGACAGCCCTATGAGTATAAAATGGCAGGTATTTTTAGTGGGGGGAAAGCAAGGCTCAGAATTCATCAGCTAAGGAATGGCAGAGTGAGGACCAGGACCTCAGGCCCTCCAGCCCAGTGTGCGTCCCCAGAGCAGGATTAGCTAAATGCCAAGTGGAACTGGAAAAAAAAAAGACTTAGGGTGATATTCAACAAAGCTAATTTTGGGAAACCATCATCTTTTTAAGTAGATGTCAATTTGGGGAGTGTTTAGCAGTTATCTCATCCATTCACTAAGATTAAAAAAATCATTCATTCCCTACCTAGTATCAGACTTTATAACAAGATTAGCAGAAACTGAAACAATAAAATAATTAATTAACAATCCCACCATCCATATCAAGAAGCTCTTTTCATTCCTTCCTGCCTGCTCCCCTTAGCACCCATCATATACGTTATCACCATGACCACTGCTCAGAGACAAGTTACATTCTGCATTTATCCTAAACCCCCTTGTCTGCCACAAAGTTGATACAATTTTTTAATGGATGCTTAACATTCTACAGACTGAATATACCTCACTCAACTTAAATGACCCCTTCTGTTGAACATTTAGAGTGACTCCACAAAATATGTATATACACATGTCATTACTATAAAGACAGTGTAATAAAAGTGGCCATGCCCACTTGAGGCTTAGAAGCAAGGAGCTGAGTGACATGGCCCCTGGCCTAGCACCCCTTCTCCAGCCCCCTCCCACCCAGCTTGCCCTCTCATCCCCAGTCCCTTTGGGATGGGCCTTGTGGAATGGTCACTTACATTCAGTGCATGGATGGGTTTGGTGACATTGAACTTGTCCATGGTGGACAGGATGATGGAGGGGGTGGTCAGAAAAAACAGCCCCAGGAAGAGAGTGAAGTTGATGCCCAGCCACTGGAACCACCAGCGGAAGCCCTGGGTGGAGAGGTTCTTCCTGCAGAGGGAGGACACGGCCTGGAGGATTATCTCCCAGCGTGCTGCCTGCTGTATCAACATGTGGACACACGTGCCCTAGCTGAGATGGGTCAGAAGGTCAAAGCTAGCAAGGCAAGAGACTAGGCTGAGGGCTCATTTTGACCTCAGGAGGACAGGCAAGTGACCTTCAGTTATGGGAAGGTCAGATTTTGGGTCCCTCTGAACTCAGAGGGAAAACAGCTAACACGGCTTCTCTGCTAGACCAGCACCTTCCCACAGCAAAGCCATGAGCACCCAATCGGGCCAGATGGGCTCTGACATGGAATTTCTTAAACTTGCCTATAATGCCTAATGACTACTGACATGCTGTCCCCAGTGGGGCTGTGGGCTGAGGTATAAAGAGGAGGGAGGCAGGAGACAAAGGTGCAAAGGTGCCTGGCTTGGCCTCTCAGCTCCGCCAAGATGGGACCAACAATCCCAAATGTAGAAAGCCCTCTGAACCAAAGACCAGAACTTTGAGCGGCAGACCTCGAGCCCAGTGGAGATGAGCACGCTGGGTACAGACTTGAGGCAAGCCATGCAGGGTGTCTGCCACCCTCACCCAGGCGTCATGCTCAGGGCTTGCCAATAGGCCCCATGGACATACCATAGCTCACCAGTGCACCTCCCGGCTGGAGAGTGCTGATCCTTGACCTACCGTTGCACTGTCCAATCAGTAACCATGAGGCTCATGTGGCCATTACATATTGAACTGTGGCTGCTCCAAATCATGATGTGCGAAACATTAACACACACTGATGTCAAAGACTAAGAATGTAAAGGAGCATGAGAAGCATATCAATTTTTTGAAAACTGATCGCATGTTGACATGATACTATTTTGGATATAAGAGGAAGACTATTAAAATTAATTTCCACAGTTTCTTTTTGTTTAACATGGCTATAAGAAAATATAAGTCACATACATAGCTCACATTATATTGCTACTGGACATGGCTGATGCCAGGAGTTACACTGAGTGTGGACACGGCCCCACATCCACCCTGACCCCTGGCCCAGAGCAGTGCAGGAGACATGTGGATCTCCCAGAATGCCAGGTCACGCCTATGCTTCCAGCTGGCAGGTGCCAGGCCTCTTCCTGCCCCTTCCCACCTGGGGACTCACCAGCAGATGTCCTCAGGGTAAGCAGCAAAGGTGACGGTCCATTTGGAGGTGCGGAGCTCTCTGCTGCAGGAAGACAGCTGGGGCTCACCCTTGCAGCAGAGGCCCTGACACTTGCAGGCATTGAAGTCTTTCAGGATGCTGCCAGGAAATAGGGAAATGACCAGGGCCTAGAGCAGCTGATGCACCACGTGCACACATGGCACATGGGACCCTGTAAGGGTGCAGGCTTCCCAACTCTCCTCTACGGTGCCCACAATGGCCAAGGAAGGTGAATAGGGACCCCACCACCCAACTTCAAGAAAGCTTGCCCAGAGGCCTTTGACATCTGTGGTAATCTTAGGAACTTATGCCAGTGTATGCCCATGGAAAAGGAGCATGTTGATTTTAGTTGTATGTGTGCAATGTGACCAGTTAAGGTGCAAAACTGTGAACTCACTCCTGAAGCTGTGAGCAAGCGTGGAGAGCTATGGAGATGGGCGCGTTCATGCAGCACTCCTGCTGTATCCCCGCTAGGATGCACTGGGCACAGAGCTAGGCCCTGGCAGGGGACAGTGGGGCTTTCCCACCAGCTGTACCTGCTTGACATGCCTGCGGTCAGCTGCCGTCTTGGCCACGATCATGCGGAAGGTGTAGAGGATGAGGCCAGGCAGCCGCAGCAGCTCCATGCCATTGCCGATGAAGGCCGAAGCAATGATGTAGTTCACGAAGAAGGCACCCTGGTCTGGCAGGAAGACGCACCTGGGGAGCGGGTGGGCTGAGAGCTGGGAGTGCCTCTTCCGCGGAATGCGAAGGCTGGGCATGCAAGAGCAGAAGCCAGAGGCCCCATGTGGCCCCTTCGTGAGCCCGGCCGGCTCCAGGCTCCTCTGCCTGCTCTCACAGGCCCACAAGCCAAACGTGAGGCCTGCCAGGTGCTGAGTACCACACGGAGACAGAGGGTGGCGCAGGGCATGCTGATGAGCACGGATGTGTATGGGATGGGAGAAGGTAAGAGTGAGTCACCTGGAAACCTGGGAGAGAGCATCCCAAGCGGGGGGTCAACAGATCATGGCTGTCAGGGGAGGCACCGGGCCATCAACCATGCCCGGTGGGGAGCTGCAGGTCAGGGAGCGGGGGGGGGCCCCATGTGGGAGGTTGGCCCCTGAGCTGCCCCGACTGCAGGAGGGTCCCGGGCAGGAGACTGAGGGGGTGCTGTGAAGGGGGCCGGAACGGTGGGGTACTGGGTCTGTCTGTGAGGGTGTGTTTTGCGGAGGAGCCGTGTGGCGTGGGAGGGAGAGAAGGCAGGAACTCCAGGGCACTTGTGCCAGAAACAGTCATGGCTGGGGGCAATTGTGGGAAGAGCAGAGCTGGGGATAAAAGTCAGGAGTTTGATTTGGGGCACTAAAGTCTGAAATGCCCATTAGGACCAGGATTGCAGCCAGGAGAGGCTACTGGAGCTGGACGTGCAACAGCCATTCTAACTCAAGAGTACCAAGGTTGCCTTGAGGGAATGTGGGAGAGGACCCAGGGCTGAGCCCGCAGGTGGTGATACACAGAGCCTGGGGGATGCAGGAGAACCCGCCCAGTGGGTGAGGAGCAGACGCGTGTATGGGAGAACCAAGATGAGGTCTGAGCGGAGTGAGGACAGCCTTTCAGGGAGGACAGCAGGGTTAGCACCCCAGGTGGTGCAGGGATAGGACATAGGATGAGGCCTGGGAGCCGACTTGCACATGGCAGTCTGGAAGTCACTGGCATCCTAGAAAGAGCTGGCTCGGCTGTGTCTTCCTGTGGCTACCGCCCCCAAGTCCTCTGCTCATCCAGCCAGAGACCATTAAACTTCACCCTATCCTTCCAAGTAAGCATAGCCAGCCTTCCCTATAGCAGTGCTTTGGAAAAGTCAATCCCAAGACCTAGGGATTTATTAGGAACTATAGCACAATGGGGTCTGAGGTTGAATCCCAGCTCTGTCTCTTAACTAGCTGTGTAAACTTAGGCAAGTTATTCAACATCTCTGGGCCTCAGTCTCATCTGTAAAATAGAAATGCTAATAGTAATATCTACTTCATAGCTTGTTGTAAAGTTTAATTGAGAAAAAGAATAAAGCATTTAGCATAGAGCCTTCTTAAATGATAGGTATTACTATTAAATGTTGTGGTTCAAGCTGCAAACACCAAAAGGACACGTGTCAGAAAGAAGTTTAACTCCATTCTCCCAGCAAAGATAACCCAGCCCAGGCAGGCATCCTGGTCACACTGTAATTATTCTCTCCCCTCCGGGCACCAGCGACTTTCAGCAGTTCTTCTCCCCTAGTGGCTCTGTTTTCAGTAAGTAAGTTTCAGAGATTGCCGCTAATGGGAGTGTGATCCCAAAAGATTAACCACCTTTCTGCATGCATGGCACAAAGTGGGGCAGCTCCCCCAGGGCAGCCACAAGCTCTGCCTGGCCCCCCGCCCAGCCAGGCCCTGGAGGTGGGAAGCCCTAGGCCCTGCGATCTCCATCTCGGGGAAGGAAGATACTGGCTCTGAAGCACAGACAACCCTCCCCTCCATGCAGCCCCAGCCTGAGCCCCTGTGGGGCATTGACCCAGGGCCTTGGCCCCAAATCTCAACATGGCTGGCCAATACTTACTCCAGCCTGATAGAGGTCTCTGAAGAAGTTTTGTCAAAGAGCCACCGGAAGAAAAAATCCAAACTGAAAAGAAAAATGAATCCCATAAGAATTTATTCCAACACTCCATGTGATCACTACGTTTTCACTTTTCTCTAAAATGCCACTAACAACAGTGTAACTGATCAGGGCCTGCTTCAACAGAAACTTCCTTCCTTGAAGTAAACATTCATGATTAGACCCTCCCTCTGAGTGGAAGACCCCTGATAGGAAGGTTTTCAAGCTTTTTTTTTAAAGGAGAGATCATATCTCCAGAGAGTCAATGGGCCAGCACAAGGGCCCTGCACGTGGGTGTGATAGGTTTCAATGTTGTTTCGGGATTTGCAAACACTCCGGAAATGTTTCCATTTCTCCTGCACACAGCCCTCCAGATGTGACCCTGATTCTGAATTTAAAGCAGGAATTGGGGGGTGTACCTGGTGAGACCCAGGGAGGGCAGGATCAGCACCATGAAGATCAAGAATATGTAGACCTTGGTCACCATGGTCCGGTTTTCCCCTGACCTGGAGGGAGTCAGAGGTGAGCCCTCGCGTCCTGCACATGCTCCGGCTGTCTCCAGAAAAGCCCCTGCTGTGTGCCCACTGCCCTGGGGGGGATGCCCTCTCCCGGGCACTCACTTGGTCCAGTGAGACTCCAGCAGTGTGGAGTAGTAGACGATGGTGGGGAGCAGGGCAGAGAAGGACCACAGCAGGAGTGTCGGAAAGAACTGGCTGATGACTGGGTCCTGGAAAATGAAGTCCACACAAGAGCGAGTGGAAGGGCTGTGAGCCACGGAGGCTTTGAGGGCATTACTGCTGGCATGGCAACTCAATGAGCTCCTGAGGTCAGATTTTAGTCATCCTTGACCCCCAGAACTACTACCGTGCCTGCTTCTGAGTAGGTGTTTCATAATGCTGGACAAATAGAAAAGACAGCAACTTCACATACCACCAAACTCCACCTGCCCTACTGGCCAGAAAGATAACCTCCTCCCTTTATTACAGAAAACTGGCCCCTCCCCGGCTGTCCTGCCCATCCAGCTCCCACTGCTTCAGGGATGCTTCAAGCCTGTCTGTGCCCCTTATACTTACTATGTAATCACATGATCTGAATACTTTCCCTGATAAAATGATCATAACAATAGAAAATTTCTTCAAAAACTGAGTTGGATACTATGTTAAGACTTGATAAAGGCTAATTTGTGAAAAATGCTGTTCAATTAGAGAAGAGTAACACAACTGTGAAAGGAGGAAATAAAACCTCAGAGGGCAGTATACTTAGACTGGCTTAGAGTCTTTAAATTATTGCTTTACTGTAAGAAATCTAAATTGGAATGGCAAACAATGAACTAAGGGTGTGGTTTAGGTAAAATACACAAAGGGGAACTCTACTCAGGTCTGTCATCCAAAGAACAAGCCTTGACATATATCAAGACTGACACAAGAATGAACATTTACATGCTTTAAATCTAAACCAAACTGCTTAATTGATACTATTTTTTATTATGGGTTGAATCAGAGAAGAGAGCTTTAACCCACAGTACCTCCTATGATCATCATGACAGCCCTATGAGTATAAAATGGCAGGTATTTTTAGTGGGGGGAAAGCAAGGCTCAGAATTCATCAGCTAAGGAATGGCAGAGTGAGGACCAGGACCTCAGGCCCTCCAGCCCAGTGTGCGTCCCCAGAGCAGGATTAGCTAAATGCCAAGTGGAACTGGAAAAAAAAAAGACTTAGGGTGATATTCAACAAAGCTAATTTTGGGAAACCATCATCTTTTTAAGTAGATGTCAATTTGGGGAGTGTTTAGCAGTTATCTCATCCATTCACTAAGATTAAAAAAATCATTCATTCCCTACCTAGTATCAGACTTTATAACAAGATTAGCAGAAACTGAAACAATAAAATAATTAATTAACAATCCCACCATCCATATCAAGAAGCTCTTTTCATTCCTTCCTGCCTGCTCCCCTTAGCACCCATCATATACGTTATCACCATGACCACTGCTCAGAGACAAGTTACATTCTGCATTTATCCTAAACCCCCTTGTCTGCCACAAAGTTGATACAATTTTTTAATGGATGCTTAACATTCTACAGACTGAATATACCTCACTCAACTTAAATGACCCCTTCTGTTGAACATTTAGAGTGACTCCACAAAATATGTATATACACATGTCATTACTATAAAGACAGTGTAATAAAAGTGGCCATGCCCACTTGAGGCTTAGAAGCAAGGAGCTGAGTGACATGGCCCCTGGCCTAGCACCCCTTCTCCAGCCCCCTCCCACCCAGCTTGCCCTCTCATCCCCAGTCCCTTTGGGATGGGCCTTGTGGAATGGTCACTTACATTCAGTGCATGGATGGGTTTGGTGACATTGAACTTGTCCATGGTGGACAGGATGATGGAGGGGGTGGTCAGAAAAAACAGCCCCAGGAAGAGAGTGAAGTTGATGCCCAGCCACTGGAACCACCAGCGGAAGCCCTGGGTGGAGAGGTTCTTCCTGCAGAGGGAGGACACGGCCTGGAGGATTATCTCCCAGCGTGCTGCCTGCTGTATCAACATGTGGACACACGTGCCCTAGCTGAGATGGGTCAGAAGGTCAAAGCTAGCAAGGCAAGAGACTAGGCTGAGGGCTCATTTTGACCTCAGGAGGACAGGCAAGTGACCTTCAGTTATGGGAAGGTCAGATTTTGGGTCCCTCTGAACTCAGAGGGAAAACAGCTAACACGGCTTCTCTGCTAGACCAGCACCTTCCCACAGCAAAGCCATGAGCACCCAATCGGGCCAGATGGGCTCTGACATGGAATTTCTTAAACTTGCCTATAATGCCTAATGACTACTGACATGCTGTCCCCAGTGGGGCTGTGGGCTGAGGTATAAAGAGGAGGGAGGCAGGAGACAAAGGTGCAAAGGTGCCTGGCTTGGCCTCTCAGCTCCGCCAAGATGGGACCAACAATCCCAAATGTAGAAAGCCCTCTGAACCAAAGACCAGAACTTTGAGCGGCAGACCTCGAGCCCAGTGGAGATGAGCACGCTGGGTACAGACTTGAGGCAAGCCATGCAGGGTGTCTGCCACCCTCACCCAGGCGTCATGCTCAGGGCTTGCCAATAGGCCCCATGGACATACCATAGCTCACCAGTGCACCTCCCGGCTGGAGAGTGCTGATCCTTGACCTACCGTTGCACTGTCCAATCAGTAACCATGAGGCTCATGTGGCCATTACATATTGAACTGTGGCTGCTCCAAATCATGATGTGCGAAACATTAACACACACTGATGTCAAAGACTAAGAATGTAAAGGAGCATGAGAAGCATATCAATTTTTTGAAAACTGATCGCATGTTGACATGATACTATTTTGGATATAAGAGGAAGACTATTAAAATTAATTTCCACAGTTTCTTTTTGTTTAACATGGCTATAAGAAAATATAAGTCACATACATAGCTCACATTATATTGCTACTGGACATGGCTGATGCCAGGAGTTACACTGAGTGTGGACACGGCCCCACATCCACCCTGACCCCTGGCCCAGAGCAGTGCAGGAGACATGTGGATCTCCCAGAATGCCAGGTCACGCCTATGCTTCCAGCTGGCAGGTGCCAGGCCTCTTCCTGCCCCTTCCCACCTGGGGACTCACCAGCAGATGTCCTCAGGGTAAGCAGCAAAGGTGACGGTCCATTTGGAGGTGCGGAGCTCTCTGCTGCAGGAAGACAGCTGGGGCTCACCCTTGCAGCAGAGGCCCTGACACTTGCAGGCATTGAAGTCTTTCAGGATGCTGCCAGGAAATAGGGAAATGACCAGGGCCTAGAGCAGCTGATGCACCACGTGCACACATGGCACATGGGACCCTGTAAGGGTGGCAGCCTCTGGCACGGGACTGGTGCTTCATTAATCGCTTATCAGCAGCACATGGAACAGAGGCCACACTTAGCACACTGTGTGGAGCATTTTGTTTAATCCTCAGAACAACCTGAGAGTAGCGACTGCAAATCTGATTACACAGAGAAGGACTTGAGGCTTCCCCAGTTAGGTTGTGTGCCCCGCCTGACTCCAGGCCTCCTGGGCCATCCTGCCCCATGCCCCACCAGGCCCCACAGCCGCTTCTGTCTCCTACATCTGGCCTCCTCCCCATTGACTCCCAGATCCCTGGCCCCAGCCACCTCTGCAGGTCTGCTCCTTCCTGCTTTCCTCCTGTGAAGAGCTCACTAGCCACCTTAGGCCTGCTTCAGAATGCCCTCCTCTCTCCCCTGGACCCCCAGCCCCTTTCAGGGGCCTTTGGTTACCTCCAGGAGTCGGTTCCCAGGGCCCACGATGCCCGAGGCAGAGACACAGGGCAAGGGCACTTGTTTGGCCACCTCCTTTCCACAACCACACCCCAGCCACTCTAAAGAGGCTGGCCCCAGACCCCAGGCCTGAGAGCACTTTGAGAGCTGAACCCCAAGCTGAGCAGGTGAACCCTTCCCTGCAGGGTGACAGGGGCTCAGCCAGAGCTGCCCATGCCCAGCTGTGGCACAGACATGCACTGGGCTCCCAAGGGAGTGGGTGTGGATGGCTGCCTCCCAGCCGCCCATGGGAGGGAGATGGAAAAGCAACCAAGATATCCCAGCCATGCTGACTCAGAAGCTCCATCTTTATCCAGCTAGGACAGTAAGTTATCTGGGAGACAAGCAACAGTCACGAGAAGGGCTGGTGCATGTACACACTCACTAGGTGGCCATGGACTTCTCCTGGAAGGTGACAAAGGCCATCCCCAGGGGCTGGTCCTGGACTCTGCGTTCCTCCTTTGCAATCTTCTCCATCAGCCTGTCCTTCATGCGTGTGTAGTAAGAGATGGTGTCTTCCTACCAGAGGGCACACTCCATGATGACATGGCCCCAGGCAGCGGGGGGGACCCGAGCACCCACACCCCTGCATGGGTACTCACCCTCTCACACCCTGGCACTTCGCAGCAGCAGAACTGGCCACAGGGCTTGGGATTGATGAGGGTCTGCTGGCCTGTCTTCACCTGCAGATGTGTGTAATAGGTCAGGCTCTTCTCAATCTGTCTTCTGCAGGGGTGGGAGGGAGCTCAGACTCAGTCCTGTGGTGCAGCCCCATACCCACCCTTCCACCATGGGTCACCACCCAAACAAGGAGTTCAGCTTTCTGAACAGGGAATGACAGCTACCTCCCCTGCCCAGCTGGGGGTCCAAGGCCCACAAGGCAGGAGGTGGGCAGCTCACAGGGGAGGGTCTGAAAGCTGCAGGCCGGCTTACCCATGCACTCCCACCGGCCAGCCTCCCTCACCTCTCCTTGCACAGGTTCATCAGCTTGGCCACGTTGTAGCACAGCTGGGCATCCTGCACTTCACATGTGGGATATGCGTCCCTGTGCACAGGAAGGGCCAGGGGCAAGAGAGGACCATTGAAAAAGAGAACCCCCAGGCAGGAGACCCTAGGCTCCAAGGGAACAGAGTACCATGCTGCTCACTTCTGTACCCACAGACACCTTTCTTTTACCAAGAAGGGAAATTTTGAAATTTAATACAAAGAGGCCTTTTTTAATAGCATGAAAGTGACTGCCTGAAACTGATACATTTGTACCCACTTGGCTTTAAATTGGTTGGCACTTCTCCTGGGAAAAAATTAACACTGTTCATTATCTCCTCAACCCACCCAAAGGGAAAGATTTATTGTTTGTTCTAAGTCCCGTCTACCTTGGAACTCACTGAATCCTGCACAGGTTGTGACCCTTTTGAAGATCACAGACCTTTAATGACAGCAAAGGACCCTCAGCCCAGAAAGGTCTACACACAGGGTAACAACCACTAAGTATGCTGTACATAGGCTTACCATTGGCCAGCCACTGCTACAGTGTTAACTTAGTTAAATCTCACCACAACCTGTGAGGTTTGGTCCCCATTTTATAGATAAGGAAAATAAGAGTGAGAAAGATTACATGATTTGTACCCAAGGTCCATGGCTAGTAGTGTTCAAGCCAGGATGTGAACCAGGCATTCCAGGGCTGGTAGCCACCATGCACTCAAAATCACACACACAGCCTGGGGCATTCCTGGGCTAGGTAAATCCCACCTACTAAGTGCCAAGCACTGCTCTGGGTACTGGGGATGGAGCCTGGGTTAGTTTACGTTTTAGTGAGAAAGAGAAAGCCCATAGAGACATCATTCATTCCACCCATCAGGTCCCAGTGAGAGCACTGAGGAAGAGAATCCAGCAGAGGCAAAGCCACAAGTGGATTCCATGAACTGCAACGGTGTTTACTAAAAGGGAGAGAAAAGTTCCCTATAAGAGGAGAAAGTGTGATTCAGTGTTTATATCAGAATGTGAGGACCTTTTTTCTCTTTAAGATTACACACTAAGTGGAAATACTGTTTCCAAATGTTACCTAGCAGGCAACTCAGGGGAGGTATTTCAAGACTAGAGAAAAATGATTCCAGTATCCAGTGTTTATTATATAAAAGAATCCTCAATTACTTGGAGTCTTAGAAGAAGAGGTGAGTCAATAAATTTTAAAAATTCATTTTACAATTCTTTTTCTATTCATCATTTGCTTAGCAAGTGTTCTTTATAAACAGTGTAAAATCAAACTGCAGCCAGCCTCTGGACCAATGACTGCTGACTGATAAGGAAGGACACAAACTGAAACCAGCTCCCAGCTGAGGACAAGCCCAGGTCCAGGGGCCTTGGCCTGCTCACCCACCCCCTTCCCTGCCACTCCACACGAAGCCTGAGCTCATGGCTCATAACACACAATCCCTTCTGGCAGGAAAGCCCTTCCTCCAGCTGCCAACCGCCAACCTCAGGAACCCTCAGTGCAGTGCTCACTGGGGTTTGCTGGAAAGGAGGCCCTGCCGGGGAGAGCCTGGGCTGGCTGATGGGAGCTCTGTGAGGACAAGGCTCAGACACACTTCTAAGTCCCGTCTACCTTGGAACTCACTGAATCCTGCACAGGTTGTGACCCTTTTGAAGATCACAGACCTTTAATGACAGCAAAGGACCCTCAGCCCAGAAAGGTCTACACACAGGGTAACAACCACTAAGTATGCTGTACATAGGCTTACCATTGGCCAGCCACTGCTACAGTGTTAACTTAGTTAAATCTCACCACAACCTGTGAGGTTTGGTCCCCATTTTATAGATAAGGAAAATAAGAGTGAGAAAGATTACATGATTTGTACCCAAGGTCCATGGCTAGTAGTGTTCAAGCCAGGATGTGAACCAGGCATTCCAGGGCTGGTAGCCACCATGCACTCAAAATCACACACACAGCCTGGGGCATTCCTGGGCTAGGTAAATCCCACCTACTAAGTGCCAAGCACTGCTCTGGGTACTGGGGATGGAGCCTGGGTTAGTTTACGTTTTAGTGAGAAAGAGAAAGCCCATAGAGACATCATTCATTCCACCCATCAGGTCCCAGTGAGAGCACTGAGGAAGAGAATCCAGCAGAGGCAAAGCCACAAGTGGATTCCATGAACTGCAACGGTGTTTACTAAAAGGGAGAGAAAAGTTCCCTATAAGAGGAGAAAGTGTGATTCAGTGTTTATATCAGAATGTGAGGACCTTTTTTCTCTTTAAGATTACACACTAAGTGGAAATACTGTTTCCAAATGTTACCTAGCAGGCAACTCAGGGGAGGTATTTCAAGACTAGAGAAAAATGATTCCAGTATCCAGTGTTTATTATATAAAAGAATCCTCAATTACTTGGAGTCTTAGAAGAAGAGGTGAGTCAATAAATTTTAAAAATTCATTTTACAATTCTTTTTCTATTCATCATTTGCTTAGCAAGTGTTCTTTATAAACAGTGTAAAATCAAACTGCAGCCAGCCTCTGGACCAATGACTGCTGACTGATAAGGAAGGACACAAACTGAAACCAGCTCCCAGCTGAGGACAAGCCCAGGTCCAGGGGCCTTGGCCTGCTCACCCACCCCCTTCCCTGCCACTCCACACGAAGCCTGAGCTCATGGCTCATAACACACAATCCCTTCTGGCAGGAAAGCCCTTCCTCCAGCTGCCAACCGCCAACCTCAGGAACCCTCAGTGCAGTGCTCACTGGGGTTTGCTGGAAAGGAGGCCCTGCCGGGGAGAGCCTGGGCTGGCTGATGGGAGCTCTGTGAGGACAAGGCTCAGACACACAGCCTCTTGCTCAGGAGACACCTGCTGAGCAGACTGTGAACCAGTGACTCTCTGCCTGCTACAGGTCCCTCCCCTTCAGAGACTGGCTCTGTCTTCTATATCTCTTACTCTGCAAGGCTGACACTGAGGTGCCCAGGGTGAATCATGTTCCTGTCTCATGTGCTCTCAAGCTGTTTATTTGCACCTACTCCCTGGCCTGGACTCTGGCCACTGTAGTCACATGAGGCAGCTGCCATGGCTGCTGGTAGAGGACAGGGTTCCAGCCCTGACACCAGCAGAGCTGGCACAAGCAGTCCTTGCCATGCTCATGTGGCAGGCCCAGGTCCTTCCTGGGTATCTCTGGGTGCCCACATGGGAGACAGAGAGCTCAGCCAAGGCCAGTGCAGGGGGCTTGCTCACCGGAAGTGGCTCTCCACAGTCTCCTTCTGGGCATTTCTCGGGAGTCCAGTAATGAACAGTGTCCGCCTCACCTGCCAGAGAGATACACCAGGGAGAAAAGTCACCAGGACAAACCAGTATGTGGGTGGGCCCAGGTTTCCCACCTGTTCAAGCCTTCCAAAGCAAACAGTGGGGGCTCAGAGACTCAGGGGTTCTCCTGTGGCTGGGCAGAGCCCTACAGCCTGCTCTTTCTATAGCATCTTCTTCCAGACTGTACAAAGAATAATTTCCAAAGCCATTCTATGAGCCTCCTTTACATGACAAGGGGTTGTGGAAGAACCCAGAGAAGGGAAGTGACACAGTGGGGTCACACAGCAGGTCAGAGCATGACCCAGGCCTGAACCAAGTGGTAGAGGTTCCCCCATTGTCCTGTAAAGCAGTTGGCTGCCAGGATAAAGGGCTGTTCTCAATCTGAGCTTCTTGAAAGTCACTTCGATCCCTAACTACAAGCCCAAACCCACAAGTCTAAGGGCTAGCTGGAAAAATGGGGGATCCAAATCCTAAAACAATCTATCAGAAAAAAAAAAAAGATAATGCCAATTTGAGTGCAAATATGCAAAAGGCAGATTCCTCTGAGCCTGCTGCTCCTCCCCGGGAGCTGCCTGCCATCTGGTCCTGGGAGTAAGCCTGGGTGCTGTTTCTCTCTAGCTGCCCCCTGAGCCCCTCCCCAGCACGTGCCCCATCCTCCAGCCTCACTCACCAGGTTCTCTTCTTTGTACTTGATGGATTGGGTGTGGTGTCGCATGAAGCCCACAGTGAGGATGAGATAGACAACAGCAAAGATGGTGTGCAGCCAAAGGAGGTCATTGCTGAGGGGGACACCATCTGCTATCAGGGCTGGGCTTCCAGGCAGTGGGCAGGGGTGCTAGGGCTATGCTGGGATTCTCTCATGGCACAGAACTGAGGGCCAATGGCTTCGTGACAACAGATGCCTCGGAGAGGGGCTGTGTGGCCAGTGACCCTTGGAGAGGGCACTGTCCTGACAAGAGCCCTGACCCACAAGGCCCTGCATGTTTCCTAATACCACTGCAAAACAGTAGCTGCCCGGGGCATGCCCAACGCATGGCCCTGCAGCACGCACTATGTTTTCAGACGTTAGCCAGCTCACTTTGGACAACCTCTGGCCTCCCCAGGCTCCAGAGTCTGGCTGATCTCAGTCTCACCCACCACCACCCACACTCACTCAGTCTGTAGGTTTGCTATCGTCGTCCTCCCGAAGCTATAAGGGTCTTTGTCTGCAGAGAAGCAGAGACAGTTCCAGGGTCATACTAGGGAAGCAGGAGGGGGACATAACCAGCCTTGGCTTGTGGAGCTCGAGGAGGAGCACAAGACAGGCAGGTCAGAGAACAATGGCATCACCCAGGCTTTTCAGAGCCACATAGGCCACAGCCTCTGCTTTCCCCCAAGACACCACTTGACAACTGCCCAGTCTACCATGGAAGTAAAGTCAAACTCTGAATTCATGTTGCTTTAAAATGCTGGTGGCATCCCATGAGAAATCTAAAAGCATCTTAAGCTGTTCCTAAAGCCATGGTTGGGAGTCACTGGGCACAAGAATTAGACCCATGATAGCATTTTGGAAGCTGGATTCCTGCAGTTGCTTGGAAATATCATTCCCTGCACTGACTTTGACTTTGAGCATCACAAACATCTTCCAGATCCACGAGCTGTGGCCTCCTGATTTGGGTGGGGGCAAGAAAGTATAAGACACTCACTGAAAGCCTTATTCTATAAATCTTGGGCTTTTCCCCCCTCCTAGATAGAGGCAGAAATTGGTGTTAGGAGCCCAGCTCTTGGCCCAGTTTGGGATGGATTCTTCTCCATATCTTTAATCAGATGGAAGAATTGAGAAAGTTGCCTCTGAATCTGACATGAATCCTGGGAGTCTAATCCACCATGAGCCCCTCTCTGCTGCTTTGCCCAGGCTCAGTTCAGACAAGGATGGAGAGTCATTACCCAGCAAGTTGCCTGAGAGGTTGACAGGCAGGATGACGCACAAGGACAAGCAGCTGACCACCACCAGCAGGAAGATGATATGTCTCTGGAAGGACAGGTAGTGAATGGCGTCCTCCCCACACCACTCCAGGATCTGGTCATCACTGGCCAAGACACACACAGGATCCTAGTGAGCAGGAGGAATGGCCCAGCCCCAGGCCCCTGCACGGATGTCTTGTTTAATCCTCATGCCCATCCTATGAGGTGGCTCTAATTTTCTCCTAATGTTTTACATATGAGGAAATAGAGGCACAGAAAAACCACAACTTTTACAATTGCACAGCTTGTAAGAGCAGAGCCGCACTGAGGATGTCAGAGCCCACCCTCCTCCACTCGTCTGTCTCCAGAAACACCTGTGCCCACACTGACATGTGGGTGAGGTGTGCAAACACAACTACCCCACAGCCCTTTCCTGCTTCTATGAATAAGCAAAGCCACAGACCAGGGGGCTTCTGGGAACCTCCTGAAGGAAGCACGCTGTGGCCAGCTTTGGGTCCCACTCCTCCTCCACCTCTCCATGAGCAAGCCAGGAGATGGTGGAGCCCCTGCTGTAAACAGGGCAAGGCTCAGGCCACCCCTGCCCCACCTTCTCCCTGTGTCCCTGCCATGGCCCAGATGGGAGGTGACCTGCTCCGCCCTTTCCCACCCTCTATTTGGCTGTATTTGGAGGCTCTGGGTAATTCTGGACCCAGACAGTTCTGCGTTCTGACAGCCAGACTTCCAATATACAGAGGGAAATGGGAGGTCTCCCTTCTCCCCACTGTCCTGACAGGGTCCTGTTCCCAAAAGGCCAGGAACTGCTCAGGGAAGCACACTGTGTGGCATTAACAGGAGGAGGCTGAAGGCGAGCTGTCAGACAGACAGACCAGGGTGGAACCCAGCTCAGCCACCTGGGGCACTGGCCCGGGACTGCCCTGAGGCTGGGGCCTAAGGCCAGGAAGGGCTGCCCACAGCCACCTTGTAACTTGGCCAGGAACACAAGAGCCAAGAGCCAGGCTGCCCTGGCACCTGGTTGGTGCTCGGGAGCGCATCTGCTAATGCTGCTCCCCTTACCATTTACCTAGAGGATGACACTACACATCAGCCTATATATACTCTTTACACTTCTAAATAAACTATCAAAATGCACAGGCTTTGCTGCAATGAGTGCTTACTAAACAAATACTGGTGAAGATTTAACCCAACAAATGAGCAGTTTTCATCAACAGTTTTTCTTGAGACACACCCCTGACTCCTTTCAGAAGGAAACTGAGAGGTCTTTTTAAATGTCACTTGTGATGTTGGCTGTAACAGCTGTTAAAATTTAATTGCAGCCTCAAAAAAGTCAAAGGGTAGTCCTTTCTGTGGCAGGATTAGAAGAGATAAAACACTCGGAGTTGAAGTGAAAAAATATGTCTGATACAGCTTCAGAATAACAGCAGAATACACGGCTGTGCCATCAGCAGCCCCACCAATGAGGAGAGAGGATCCACGCTGGGGGACTGGGAGGGCACGGGGCACAACGCAAACAGCGGGTGTGGAGAAGGCAGTAACTTGGTGCATTTGCCAGCAGCCTTTGCTAGTTACCAGGAAAACAATGAGCCACAGTTTCCAGTATTGCCCCCTGGAGTCCAGACTGAGGGTGGGGTCCACAGCCCTGGGGTGGGTGGAGTAGCCTGAGCCCCAGCCAGCAGGGGCCATGTAGGGTGGCCAGGCAGAGGGAAGTGTGCACAGGCATCTTTCAGAGGGAAGGTCACAGTGACCTAAATGCCTTCTTACTGGTTCTTTCTGCATGTGATGGACTTTTTGCAGAGTATTACTTCCAACCTCAGGAGGAAACACATCCTAGTGACATGATTATGGTGGGCAGGGAAGGGCTGGCAAATCTGCCTCTCCCACGGTCTCCTCCCTCCCTGGAATCCCCCCTCTGCTTCTTCCTGCTCCAGACCAGAGACCACTGGCTTCTTCTATAGAAACTCTGCCTCCTGACAGGTCCCTTGGGAACCAGTCCCACCAAATTCCACTTTTTACAATATGCTGTGACATGTATAAATTCATCTGAATTAGGGGAGTAGGTGTTCTCCTCAGCTGATTTTACAGTTGGGGAAACTGAGGCCCAGAGAGACGGTCTTACCCAACATCCTGTAACTACCATATTTTATCAATTCGAAGATGTCCTTCTTAGTGTATGAAAAATAATGTACATCTTACAGTGATGCTTTATAGATTCAGTGTAACACAGTATCAGGTGGCAAAGCCAAGACCCACACCTTGGGTCCTTCCACCACACTGGAGGTGACTGATTGGTTCTTCATCACCAAGTACCTCTTTCAGAATTTCTCTGCACAGGCCCCAAGTTTTGAAAATGAGAAGACTTTTAACCAAATGAGCTGAATGTATTAAGCAATTATTCATCCATTTTTCACTAATTCAAAGACATGTACAACTGCCTAGAAGAGCTGCCACCCTAATATATTGCTGTTGAATGCTAAGTAGGTATAATTTGTGCCTAGAGCAAAAGTTTGCTTTAACTAGCTTGTGCAAGGGCTGCCTGGGCCACCTTTTTTCTCAGCCCCACATACTGCTTTGGACCCAAACTGGAAAGTACCAAGAGACCCCATCTCAAAATTAGGCACTTTCCTCCTGATCACCAAACACCTAAAGAAACCCACCCACCCTAAGGCAGGTGCACATGCGCACGTGTGCGTCCACACACACACACACACCGGTCACTCATGCTGTACTCACTGCAGGTGGAAGATAGCAGTCAGCCAGGGGCAGCATCCCTGGAAACAGAAGATCTGGGATTAGCTTCAAACACCTTTGTCTTTGGGAGGGAGATATAATCATCTTTGACATGAAACACCCATCTGAGCCCTTCTTGTATAAAAACAGCACTTCTGTTCCCAATCAGCAAGCTCCTCCCTGCCCCAAAGGAGTCTGTGCGCTCCCATTCCTTTGTAACATGCACCCTGTGCCTGGAATTCTTGCAGAAACAGCCCAAGTTTTGACAATTTGTGGAATCATATAGGCTCCAGTGTCACAGCCTGAAACTTGCATCAAGGGCTCATGAAAGTGCAGGCCAGCTCTGTAGAAACCAACATGGGTTTCTGTCGGCTTTTTCACAATGACTGTGTGAGATGTGGGACAAAGTGAGGAAACACGCCTAGCCTAACTGGACAGTCCCTTGGAGTGGGATTTTGAGAAGAAAGTGGGTATCTGTAGGTTTTATTGTCCATTGCATCTCAAACTGAATACTCCCTAAAGCTGACTGTCACCCAGCTGGGAAAGACAAATATTTGTTTGCTCCTCATTCAACAATCATTAAGCACTTACTGGGTGCCAGGTGGTGGGAAAACAGCTGGATAAGACACGGTTCCTGCCCACATCTGGTCCACAAGCTAACAGGCAAGTAAATAATTAACCGTCCCAGGAGACAAGAGCTGGGACCACAGGTTGGGGATGGGGGATTCCAAGCCCTCTGCCTGAGACTCGGTCACATTTTGTGATCCTGAGCCACCAGCTACCATCTCCCCATGGTACTTCCCAGGTTCAGGGGCCTCTGTCCATGCCGGAAAGAGCTCTCAACAACACTTGCCACTCAATATCCAGAGCACTGTGGGCCAGCCAACTGGCCCACCCAGGTCACTAGTGCCCCCCACCCCTGCCCACCCTACAGCCAAAGCAGAGCTGCCCCTCAGCCCCAGACACCAACCAGCTCGCTTTCAAAGTCACATAGGCCTGAGGAAGAAGATGACGACAACCTCTGGAATCTGGACTCACTAAAAACACAATAGGAAAGAATGACAGATCATTATTTTAAGAAGTCTGTATACCATGTCCAGTATTTTGCTGTCTCTTTGAGCTCAGGACCAAAGTTATTAGCTCTCCTCAGAAGCTGGGACAAAACAGAACTCACCCTGGGACAGCCACAGACAAGGGCCATGACCATTCCTGCATTGGGCATGACAAAGAGGCCTCCATTACATGGGACTATGCCACGGGGTAGCCCAGCCCTGTGCCCCACAGCCCAGAACCCCGGCACTGGGACTGAAAGTGACATCAAAATGTTGCCTGTGTACAATTTACTTCCCAAGATATCAGGTAAAATTTGGAATAAATACTGTACTTTTAACAAATCTAAGACACCACTGGCTGTAAGGGGCATATATTTTATGAACCACTGAGAAAGAAGAAATGCTGCCAGTTAAACTGACCAGCACTGATAATAAGTTACATCCTCATTTCAGAGATGAGAAAATGTTAAAATAATACATTTTAGAGTTGATAAACTATGGCATTTTATACTGTGGCATTTTTATCAGATCCTTTCTTCTGAGTAATCCATAAGGCTGTCCTATGTGCTGGAATTTGAGAGTTTCAGGTGTTTACAGCATTTTAGTTTTGGCTTCTGTTTTCCTTCTCCTAGCTGCACCATCCTATTTCAGATGTCACATGACATGGTGAAACAACTTTCAAAGCCTTTCTAGAGGCCTGTCTCATTTGACCTAGGGAGAAGAGAGGACAGAAAGAGACAGACCCCAAAATATTTGGGGACTTGACCAAGATCACAACCAGGGAAGTGGTGGGCCTCCCGACTTCCAAGTATTCTATTCTAGTGTGTCCATGGCCCCTCCTAGGAGTGAATGTACTGAAAATGCATCAGAAGCCCTAAAACCCCCAAAGAATCTAAGGCCCCAACACAGCTGAAGCAAGAGGGACCACCACCTTAGCCCAAGGGTCGCAAATGCCAGAGCAGAGCCTGGGGAAAGACAGGGTGCTTACAGACACACTCCTGCCCCTCCCACTGGGACCATTGCAGCAGGGGAGCAGCACAGACCAACCATGTGTTTCCCCACATGCTTCCTATTGCTGTATCTGACACAGGATCCTGGGGTGTGTGACAGCCAGCTGCAGCTGGAAATTCCAGTTGTGCAGAACTAGATTCCATTTACCCCCTTGAGGTGACATGAGCTGAGAACAGCCAGAGCCCAGGGTGGAACCAGAAGGACCTGAGGCCTGGCCAAGGGAGCCTGTGCTTTCTCCAGATCCATCAGAAGCTGGCTGACTTGGGGCCATCAGCTGGCCTGCCCGGAGGGAGGGCAGGAGCAGCTTGCCCACGGTCCTGCTGTCCATCTCAATCTGCCTCACCTCAGCCCTGGCCCCAAACTCATCCATTTCAAAGATACACTTGAAAGTACTCAAGGTGAGAAAGGAAACTGGCATCTTCCTCAACCAAGTATGAAGCCCTAAGTATGAGGAGCAGTGAGGTTTTCTCCACAGCCTGAACCAACAAAGGTCATGGTCACAGCCAGGCCAATGGCCAAGACAGCTGGGCCCGGGGCCTCGGCTTTCCCACGGGCACTACAAGGGCAATAAGGAGGACCTCTTGGGTCTGTGGTGAAGAGACAACACAGTTTCTGGTACAGGCCTGCCAGGTATACTCAGTGAACACGATCTAACGTCAGCATCATGTGTGAGCCCTGCCTGGTGGGTTCACAAGCCCCCAGCCCGCACCAGTGACACACACACACACACACACACACTCTCTCTCTCTCTCTCTCTCTCTCTCTCTCTCTCTCTCTCTCTCTCTCTCTCTCTCTCTCTCTCTCTCTGTCTCTCTCATACTGGAGGTGCTGTGTCTTTTTTACCAATCAGCTTCTGACACCAGGGCAATACGGCCGTAATCCCAGAATCTTCTTCTTATGAAGGAAAACACCAATACTAAAATCTAAAAGGAGAAAAGAAACCAAGTAAAAGCAAATTGGTTGACTTCTAATTAGAAGAAACTTGTCTTAGGGCCTAGACTCAGTGGGGCCTGGAAGGGAGTCTGGTTATCCTGGAGATAAGCCCTTTGGGTGCCCAGAGTGGAGCTTGCCTGTGATGCACGTGAGGACCTGGTGCTCCAGCAGGCTCGGCCTCCATGAGTTGGGCCCTCAGCTTACCTCTCAAAGCTGGTTTTAGCTCTAAAAAAATCTGTAAATTCTAGACTATCTCTTCCCGCCCTACCCCTCCACTTGGTAGGTTCTTGGACTTGTTCCTGCCTCTCTCCCTTCCCTTGACAGGCTCCCTCCCTTCCAGGTTTAGGAAAGTAGAGAGAAACATTTTCATTAGCGTCTCCCTGCCTGCACCAGTCAGGAACTGGGGTTTTAAACATGTATCCTGTTTTCCTAAAGGGAATTCGAGAGGTTGAGTTCCTGTGGAATTTTTCTCAAGGTGGATTGGAAGTTGGTGACATCTTTTCAAAGGCAGGTGAGCCGTAGGATAACACAAGGCTTCTCAGCAAGGGCCTACCCTCTTTATCCCCACGCCACCTTCTTGCCTCCTGAGGTGTGGGCATTGCTCACCTGTCCATACTTTCCAGGCCCCTCTGGCTGTTATGTGAACCCCCCATTGCCTCCTAAAATAAAATCTGCCCCCATCAGCTCACACCACTGAAGAGTGACTGGTTCTTCTCAACCAACCTTGCTCTAGCCACAGCTGTCCCAGGGCAGGGCCCCAACCAGTCCCCAACAGCCTGCTCACCTTGGGGAACCCTCCCACTCTGGGCTGCTGGACCACAGCTCCAGGACTGCCTCCTCCATGAACCTCACCAACCATCACCACAATCCTGTCCACTCTCCCCTTTCCGCCAAGGTTGGTAGATACGACTGTGTTCTCACCCTACAAATGGGTTTTAGCTCCAAGAAATGGGTGATTTGGCGCTTAAAACACTCCTTCACATAAAAGCAACATGAGTAGCATGCAGGTTCCCACAGGGGCCCAGACCAGGTTCCCACAGAGGTCCAGAAAGACCAACAATGTGGTAAAATTCTAAAGCCACAATTTAGTCCTGAATTCTAGGGAGGGAACCTGGGATGAGCAGGAAGAACTCCCTCTACCCTTCCTGGGACTACCGCCCTCAGGGCCTGGGGCCTCCTGCCACCCCCCTGTGCCCCTAAGCCCTCCTGCCCCTTCCTCACATGTCTTGGTAGTATCAGCAGAGGCAACACAGGGCCAGCATCCCAGTGCTTTTGCAGAGAAGCACTTCTGTCCCAGCAACCCTGCCCAGCAGGGTTGAGTCAGCACAGGGAAGCAAACGGCACATTTCAAATCAGGGGATCCTTTAGAGCAAGGAGGCCTACATGAAAGGCCACTTACAGGGTCAGCTCTGAGAAGGTGGCCTTTTCCCAGTTTTCTCCTTTTCCCACATCTGATCCCATATCTGATCCTAGGCCCAGGGACCCTGGTAGGAAACTGGAGTTGACGTTCTTAAGCTGGGAATTGCAACTGTTCTAATTCCCAGCCCCGCTGTCCGCTCACACCTCTTCTCCCCGGGGACTGACCCTTCAAGAGCCTTGAAGACACAAGCTGATCACTGGGTACTGATAGCAACAATCAAAGGACCAGCAATGCATGTTCTTTCCACACACACTTTTTTTTTTTTTACCTCCATTTTGCAGAGCAGCAGCCAGAGGCCCAAAGCAGCTGTGACACAGCAAAGCCACAGAGCTGTCAAGTAGCAGAGCTGGACTCAAACCGAGGTATGTCTGGCCACTCACCTGAGTTCCCCAAAAGACCCTGGGTGGGGTGGGGTGGGAGGTGGGGTTAAACAAACCAGTAATTGGGGCAGGGGTGGGGGGCTCACAAGGTGTCTCACCAGGAAGAAAATGACATCTATGAGCAGGACAGTAGGGACGCCACCAAAGGTGACTCCCTGCAGCACAGTGCTGTTTCTGGCCGAGCTGTAGCAGTAGGAGTCGTTGGGCCGGTCCCCAATGCCCAGCCGCTCACGGATGGACACAGCCTTGGACTGCCACAGCTCCAGGAAAGGGGGGTCAGTCATTGCGCCTGCCTCCCTGGAGAACAAGATCAGGCAGATGTTCAGGGCTCCGGCTCCCCCCTGTCCCTCAAGCCAGTGCTGGCAGAGCCAAAGGCAGGTGTCTCTCCCAGGGGCTGGAGGGGCACAGGGAGCCAGCAGCAAGGAATTGGGGTGAGGCAGGCACCAGACTCATCTGCCTGGCGGAGCCTCCAGAGAACAGCCCCATTGTAGGATCAATCCGTCAGACGGGCATGGTGGAAGGCTCATCAGGGCAGCCTCCAGACTGGGTGGGGAGTCAGGGTGGACAGGAAGAAAGGAAGGAACGGGGCTGCTGCAGAGCCCCAAGGACTGCTGCTGGGAGCCAATCCAGGGAGCCAGTGGGAGATCTGGAGTACAGCAGGGGAGGGAAGGAGAGGAGACAAGGGCAGGGAAGAGGACCCAGGAATGATAAACAAGGAAGAAGAGATGTCCAAGTACCCAACTGTTGGCCCATTGGAGCCACGGACGTGACCCTGCTCCCACTGTGCATGGAATGTCTGGCCAGGACCTCAGAGAGAGGCCCATTCCCTACACTTGTAAACTGAGGCTTAGAGGCTAATACCCTGCCCAGGATTAAGGAACGGGTCGGGCAGGATCAGGGCTCAGATCCAATCTCTGACTCCCAATTCGCTCTCTACTATACCTTGCTCTGGGGAGGGAGCAGCTGCAGGAACATGGAAGACAGGGAAGGCAGAGAGGGGAGGGGCGGAGGGGCAGGGAGTCTCCAGGTGTCCTCAGGGATGCCCCACAGCCCTGTCCTCTCACCCTTACATTCCTGGCTACCTTTGGTCTAAGTGGAAGGCCTAGCACTTCCAAAGCAAATATCGCTCTGGGCTGCTTGTTGACCTTTCCTTTCTAAGGCTCCTGGCATCCCTGGTGCAGCCAGTGGAAATCTCCAGGGTTTGTCTCCTTAGAGCAAAGGGCCCAGAATTAGTGCCCAAGTGCTGGCCCCCTTTTCACACTATCTGTGGCTGAAGAGCCAGGAAAAATGCTCAGCAGCCCCTCCCTGAAGCTCCCACCTCCCCAGATCTGGTTAGATTCCCAGGAGACTTCTGCCAGGTCTAAACAGTCTTTCTACCTGTTACAGGGACCAAAATCTTGGGGACCAGAAGCATAGTTGTGGGGAACACAAGCAGCTGTTTGAAACACCAGCAATGCTAATGTGTAGGGTGGGGATGGGAATTCCCACTTCTGACCATTAGGACTGCTGGGCTGGGACAGACTCACACACACATGACAGAAAGTTGGAGGGGGGGGCGGTTGGCAGGTCCTGGGCCTGACCCAGAGAGCTGAGTCACTCGCTCCTGTGAGAGACTTGGCAATGGCTGGAGGGTGTGATACCAGAGCCACTGAGCTGAGGGCTCTAAAGAGTCATGAAAGCTCCCTCTGGGAGACTCCCCTCCTCTAAACCCCACCAGGGGCACCACCCCAACTGATGGCCCCGGGCCACTGTGAGGCCAATGCCCACCCAGGCTGCCCACCCCACACTTACCAGACAGGCCTGTGGATGTGCCCCTTGGAGAGGTTCTCAGTTGGCGCTGACTCTGGCCACCTCTCAAGCTGCCTCAGGCCCACCACTCATTTCCTGCCTGTGGGGTGGTAAGGGCACCAGCCTTCACAGACTTCCCTAGAGGAATAGGTACAGACAGAACTGCCCTCTCCCAGTCCAGTCTGGCCTGAGCACTCCAGCACACCCACACCCACACCCACATCTCTGAACTCATCTCATATGGAGCGTTCGGCTCTTCCCAGAGGGCTCCCTCTGCCTGGCTCTCTCCCCATCCCCCAGAACAAGACCAGGTCCACACTTGCCTGCTCCCCTCGTTCTCCAGTGGGGCCCTATGGCCCCTGGAGCACCTCCCCACCAAAGTGGGACTGTGGACTCCGGGTCAGACTCACACAGCCAGCCAGAGGGCAGCTGTGCCCAAAGGCTTCCCAAGGTCTGCCGAGGGCTAGAAGCAGGGAAAAGGAGCACAGATCAAACAAGGAAGACCTGACAAGGGAAGTGGAGATAAAACCTCATCCTCATAAAATGCTCACAGATGGGTCCCTGATGGGTGGTGCTGCAGTGGCACAAGGGGTGGTGCTGCCCTGGCCAAGGCTGCTCTACCTCAGCTCTAGGACAGCAGGGGCCCCCTGGAGGATGTACCTGGGCCCCTCATCCTCCACACCAGTCACACCTCTGAGTTATTTTCCTCTTGACAAACAGGCTCCCAGGGGTGATTTTACAAAGTGTGATAAGAACTTTTACAAAGTATGATATCAGCCAGCACATACTGCCAGCTGGAGAGGGAGCCTTAGGTCTCCCCAGACAGAGGCCTGTCCCATCTGCCTCCTCCAGGTGAGGCACACTGGTGGGGCACAGCTCTGGGGGCTTGCTGTCTCTCTGAGACCCTCCAGCCCAGAGGTAGCCTGTCCCCGCATGGAACACATGTGAAGTCCAGATGCTGCTGAGACATGGCCATCCCCCCAGGCCAGCCCTGCCGCATCTTCCTACACAGGCACACCCTGGGAGGGCAGCTGGGACTCACCCACCACAGCATGGCCTGCCAGGCTGAGAAGGGGAAGGAGGGAAAGAGGGGACTCAGCTGACAGTGACCAGGGGAGCTGGCTCAGGGGGCAAAAGGCTGATGGTGTCAGGCAGGGGCCAGACCAGCAAGTAGGCCCTGAGGTCACAGGTGCCATGCCTGGCTTACACCTTTGCTCCTCCCCTCCAGAGCATTCTACATCCCACATTTGCTGTGTATGCATATGTGAAGGCCTAGCACTTAGCCCTGCCTTCCAGAGCTCTCCATTTGTCATCTCATTCCTAGACAATTCCTCCAGGGTAGAAAAGCCAAGGACCCAGGCCCAGGACCCAGGTGAGCAGCAGGTGATTCAGCCCCCAACTCAAAGTTCAGCCCATGTGCACCCCAGACCCCGGTTGTAGGACAGAGAGCTGAATCCAACAGCTGGTCTCAAATGTACTACCACCAAGTAAATTACCAATCCCTGAATTGGCTCTGGCCGAGCACTTGATGACCCCTAGGCCTCCCTTCCAGAAATGCTGCAGGGAGTGTGTATTACTGGCTTTTGCAAGAAGACACCATGCAATCTCTTCCGGTTTTGTTATGATAACAGGGAAACTACTAGTAGCTCCAGCCCTCCTGCCACAGGGGTTAATGCTGCCCCTCCGGATGCAGAAGGCTGCCAAGTAAAAGCGAACTTCTCCTTAAAGAACCACCAAACAGGGCCAGCTGTTTGCCTCCACAGATTTCCGCCCTGGAGCACCCAGGAAATGCAACTGCCTCTGGCTGCAGGTAGAGGCAGTGTACCTGGCAGGCAGTCACCTGAACAGGCTCTGGCATTAGGGTCCCGGCACCTTGTCACTCAGACAGGTGGCTTGACCATTCTGTGCCTTGGCTTTCTGCTCCATAAAACAGGCCAGAGATGTTTCTCTTACAGGACTGTGGGAGGCAAACACCTAAGACAATGTCACAAAGCCCTTCGCCCAGGGCCTGGCTCTGGTGAGCCCTTGAAAGCTGTTTGCCTTCATTTTAAGTCACCCCTCCAGCTAATGGCAGGACCCCATCTGATGTTTTTTCGCTGTTAGAGCCCGAAGAACAGCCAAAAGAGATCTTTGCCCCAACACTGAACAAACAAGAGGGTGGTGCAAAGGGAAAGGAGGCCTCAGTTTCTGTTCACATCAAGGACAAGCAGACTCAGGACCCTGACAGGTGTCAGGATAGAAGAAGGGAGAAAGACAGGGGGCATGCAGGAGGGAAAAGGGAGAAATTTGGGCTGTTTTTCCAGTAAGGGATGACCTGGAGTCTTCACTCAGCCTGGGTGAGTTCCCATGACCCTGCAGAAGCCAGGGCCTCAGAAAGGCCCCAGGATGCCCCCCAGCCCCTGGTGCCCACTGCTCCTGCACAAGTGAGCACAATCCACTGGCTTAGCCTGAAGCCACCAACACCGGAATACAGCCACACAACTTCAGGGTGTAAGGAAGCTGGGCGGTCATGGGGTCTACCATGCTGTCCAGTCCTGCCCTTCCAGACACTGCCTGAGACTGAAAGATGGAGGCCGCTACAGGTCTCACCCCAGGTAGCCAGTCTTATCAGGCCCCTGAACCTAGCATTTCTGGTTTCTTGACTGAGCTCTTCCTCCCCTCCCCTCCTCAGGCCCCCATCTGCTTCCTAGGACTCCACTGGGGCTGGTGCCACTGATTGATGAGGGGCAGCCCAGGTGCCTTTCCCAGGCCTGCCCGGCGCACAGTCCCGGAAGGAAGAGCAGGAAGGCCCACCCCTGGCAAGGCTGGAATTCGGATTCCCGCTGACAAGTGCTTAAAAAGAAGGGTAGGGGAAGAGAGGCTTGAGCCTTAAAAGTGGAAAGCCCGTGGAGCCTCGGAGGGGAGGTCCGGAGAGGCTGTCAGGAAGCCTGGGCGGCTGGGGTCGAGGTTCTGCGCGGCCCGGGAGGACACGACCTCCCAGCTGCCGGGGCCTTCGGGGATGGGGGCTGCGTCCCTGGCCGGACCTTTGGCACAGCGTCCCTTGCAGAGCCCTGTCCAGCCGGTCCGGGAAGCAGGAGCATTGCCATTCGGCGCCCCTTCCCACCTACCTGCGGCGGGCAAGCGGCTGTCCGGTCCACTTGGCCGGGAGGGCTGTGTTTCCACTTCTTAAAGTTACAAAGTGAAACTCCGGCGCCTCCTGCACATGCGCAGAGCTGCGGCACCGCCTGCCCAATTTGCACCCCCGCTACCCCGTGGGGACCCTGAAGCCCTTCGCGTCCGGGTTCTCACCCCCTGCTGCTCCCCATCCCCGGGGCTCCCTCACAGGCCCCGCCCCCACGGCCCCGCGGTCCTCGCCCCGCCGAGCCTGAGCTCCTCGCGGTGGGTGCAGTCCCCGCGCAGCCGGCTCGCTTCCCGCGACAAGGGGGCGCCCCCTGAGAGGCGTCCTGTCATCCGCCTCGGCACGTCTCCAGAGCCCGAGCGAGAGCGGCTCGGGGAGGCCCGGGCCAAGTTCAGTGTGGGCGCGGCCCGGGGACGCGCGGGAACAGCCTCTGCAAGCTTGAGGTGGTTCCTGTAGGGCTCTGAATTTCCTCGACGGGACCCCAGTCCCCGCGGCTACCGGACCGGCTCCCCGCCCCTCTAAGCAGCCAGGACCTCGAAGGCCCGGTGGTTCCATGTGTGTCCCTAAGGGGAAGTGGGGCTGGTTCCAGAGGCTCTCCTGGCCCCGACCGTCCCACAAGTGCGCGGCGCCCAGCTGAGCGCTGCGTGTCTGCCTGGCGGGCACCAGCGCATCTCCCGCAAGCCCGCAGATGAGCCACCGCGACTGGATTGCAAGCCGGCCCCAAGTGCGGAGCCGGGAGCGCAAGAACGCGGGAAAGATGCGGGGCAATGAGGCACGGGACACGGGAAGCTCTGGACATATCTCTGGACATATCACCGGGTCAGGGGTCACAGGGACCAGGGCGTGGAACCCGGTTCAGGCCAGGAAGCAGAACTGGGTCAGCGAGGACCGCGCGCACAGAGGAACAGACGTGCACCGCTGCATGCCTTGTCCCTCAGGCCTGGGTTTCCCATCTGTGAGTGAGGTCTGGGACCCAAACTCACCTCAGGTCCCCACCAGCACTAAGTCCCTAAGTCCTGACCAGCTCTCACCCGCACAGGTAGGTGCTGCTGTGCAGGCTCTCTGGTCTCTCTTCCCCACTTGGGCTTGGCCTTTCATCGTAATGATAAAGGAGTTGTCCCTACCTCCTGCCCTGACTCTAGCACCAGCCTGTGGCTCTCTGGAGTGCGGAGTTGGGGGATCTCCTCCTGCTTCTCGGTCTTTTCTGTTCCATCTGGCTTACCCACCCTCACCCCCCAAACTCCAGCCACTAGTTGTTTCCCAAAGTTTGCCAGTGGCCCCTGTGCTCAGCCCTTGTCCCTGTCCCTCTCAGCAAATGCCTTGACATGTCTCCTACATCCAAGTCACAGCTTAAAAGCCCTTGCAATCTTAACATTCTAAAATGTTACACCCAACACTTTCAACATTTGCTCCCTCCACCTGCCCCAAAATCTAAAGGAATGACTCACATTCTTGCAGTAGGGATGATTTGGATCACAGACATTATTTTGTTGCAAACAGAATAGAAATAAAGCCCACTCACTCTGCCCAGAAAGTAAAAATGTCAACAATAACAAGATTTCTGCCTCGGTTTTAAGAGATGGGTACACTAGAATCTGAATGCATGTCAATCCTGGCTTCCTGCATTTAGCCATCTCCCTAGTTTTCTAATCAGGGAGACCTAATACCTATAGAACTTTCTGTCCCCTCACAATTTGCAGGGTTCTAGGTAAAACAGAGAAATACAGATTAAGTGTGTTTTGTTTGTTTCTTGCAAAATGGTATTATCTGGGCTAGAAATGACAACCCATACATGACCCTAGCTCCTAGGCCCAGAGTGGCAGCTGGATCTCCCACCCACAGCACAGACCTCAGCCAGGATCCAGTAAAAGGACAAGGAAACAATACCAAATCAAGGGTTCTGCTCTTAGGTTAGAGAATCTACACAGATAAGTGCTTAGGATATAGTGCAGTACAAAATTTTAAAAGCAGAGAATACTGGGTGGGAGCTACCCAGTGACCAAGGCGTCCTGTTCCAGGGATGTGGTAATTAGGAGAGGAACTGACTTCAAAGAAAGCAAGTCCAGCGCTCAGCTGGAGGACAGAGCATTTGCCCATTTCCCATTTGGTAATCCCCACCTCTCCTGGTGCTCAAGAACACTTCTGAAGCAAACAGGAATCAGATCCCTCAAGGACTACCCTCCCTGCGGCTCCAACTTCCTTGGCACTGGCGCCCCATCTGAGGCACAGCTGCACTTCTGCACCCTCATGTTGGGTAGGCTGACCACCTGCGGCCTGAGCCTGCCCCCCTCCTTGACGCTGACAATCATGGGCAGCGAGGTCATCTCCGAGGCGACGCACTGCCTTGGCCCCAGAAACGGCCACTTGAAGGTCAGGGGCTCCGGAGGCTGCTGGCAGGTGCCCACACACTCGTAGGCCAGGAAACCCGGGGGCTCCAGGACCCAGTGCTCAGCCCACTTCATGTCCTGCAGGTCAATGTACATCTCCCGGCGGCAGCAGCGGGTGCCCACGGGCCCTGGCTCCTCAGGACCACAGTTGCCCTGAGCTCTGTGGGGCAAGGAGAGGCAGGGGCACTGGTCAGCTGGGAGGGCCGAGGTCAAGGGCCCCGGAAGTTGAGGGGTGGGGCGCGGCTAGTGGACCGTCTCGGAGTGAGATTCATGATCCATCTCTCATTGTGCCCCTAACTGCAGGGTGTTTGTGATGAGGGTGGACAGCTAGAAACAACCAAAGAGTAAATCCTAAGTGATACCACTCCTCAGAGGCAGAGGAGACCTTTTCCGTGCTAGTTCTTCCCCAGGGTACCTGCGGAGACACCGCCCCAACCGGCTTAATTCCCCGCTAGCTGGCCCGTGGGCTCCCGGCTGACCCGCGACGCCTACCCATAGTCCCTGAGGTCCAGAGCGTGCAGCTCCAGCTGGGGCTCGCCCTGCCCCGCGGCCCGCGGCCCCTGAGAAGCGAAGCGGACCAGCTGGTGGGCGCTGGAGGCCAGCGGGCCCAGGTGCTCCCTCTGCACTGACACCTGCAGCAGCAGCGGCTGCCGGGGCCGACTCAGCTGCTGCCAGAAGTGCACGGCCTCCGTCACGTCGAAGGCCCTCCAGCCGCTCTCGTGGACGGACACCAGCCTGCGCCACCACACGGACACAGGCCTGAGCGGAGGGCGACCCGCGCGGCGGCGGGGACTGGGTGGCGTCCCCGCCCCTCGGGGTGCCCCGCCCCCGGCCCCGCCCCGCCCCGCCCCACCTGGAGTCCACCAGGGAGGTGCGGTTCGAGCCATCGTCGCGGACGTGCAGCCACTGGACGGTGACGCGCGCTCGGTCGCTGCGCGGGGACAGCCGCTCGTGCCTGCGGAGCGCGGCCTTGGGGACCGGCTCCTGGAAGAGGCGCAGCACGGCCTGCACCAGCTCGCTCTCGGGCGGCAGTCGCTGCTCCAGGTGGAACACCAGCAGGTGCGCGGAGGCTTCGGACGCCAGGAACCTGCCAGCCACCTCTGGGGACAGGGCCGGGGTCAGGGGAGCCCTCCGCACTCGGGGGGTGTGAGGATGGCAGAACCACAGAGTGGGTGGCCAGGCGGGAGAAATCGGCCCCTGTCCTGTCTCCCTGGGCCAAGCTTTTACATGGGCATGTCCCTCGGGTCTGGGACCCAGTTCGTACAGTCTACCCGCAGCAGGCAGGGGCCGCTCTGGCACCCAGAGCTGACAGGCCTACCTCAGCTGACATTTAAGTGTCAGAATCCTCACCTGGGGCACCTGCCTTTGGGGCTGGCTCTGGAGGTGAGCCCCAGGCCCAGGGGGTGATAGGCTGAATGGAATTCAAGCCAGCCTTGTCCCTGACAGCTGAGTGGCAGGTGTTACACTGTAGTTAATTCTTCGGTTACCCATGAATGATCTCTCCATGATCATGCACTTTACAGTCACAGCCCCAGGAGACCAGTCAGACATCATCATACCAATGTTGCAGAGAAGCGAGCAGGTTGGGAGCCTTATTTTAAAACCAATTGCTCAAGGTCAGGGAATCCCAGAAACCCTGGCTCCCCCCCAGCACTGAGGCAGAACCGGGCTGCATCATCCTCTCCACCCTCCTCTTCTCTGATGCCTCCACTTGGGCAGCGGGTCCCAGGGGCCCACCTCCTCCCGACCCTGAGATATAGGGCCCTTGGTGCAGGCAGAGACCAGACCAGGGACCCCGCTCAGCCACCTCAGAGGCAGAGGTTCCCCCCACCCGCGTGGCCCCTGGCCCTCGGGCAGCCTCCCCCTGCAAGGACCAGGCTGCAGCAAGGGAGGAGGCCTCACCTCGGAAGTTTTGGCTGAACCTCTTCCCTCGGGATCGGGCTCCGTGGCCTCGCTGCAGCAGGGACACGTACTGGGCCCTCACGTGGCCAGGGGTGTCTAGCTCCTCCACATTGGCCTTATCCAGGGTGGGCACCTCCCTGAGGTGCAGCTGCTGCAGCAGGCTGCCCAGGATCTGCTCCCCTGTCAGGGCCACCCCGGGGCCGGCCGGGGGCAGCACCCAGAGTGCCCAGCAGAGCCACAGGGGCCTCATGGTGCCGTTCGGGAGGAGCAGGAACGGAGCAGAAGTGTCCCTGGAAGAGGCTCCAGGAGGGGCCCAGCTGGGTTGCTGAGAGCCAGGCTGGCCAGCTTTATAGGCAGCCCTGGGCTGGGCGTGGGTGGAGGAAGGGAGGCTGAGGGGGAGGGAGGTCACACCCTCAGACCTCCTGGGAGCTCAGCAGCCAGACTGGTCCGTGAGCCCGAGGTGGGGGCTGTCTACAAGGGGCACAGATGTCTATGTCGATGTGGACAGCTGGCTGCTGCCAGCTGTACAGTGGTCATGAACCTCTACTTGGCTCTAGGGTGTCTGACCAGTTAAATAAAAAAGCTTGTTTCCTGGAGTAGAAGTAGGGATCTAATGCTCTGGCAAATTCCTAGTTTCCACAGGCAGAGCCAACTAGAGTCCTGATGTGTGGCTCCAGAGTTCTGTTCTTTGCTGCAACTAAGCTGCCCACTCAGCACCAGGGTTCTCCCAGCAGGGGCCAATACTGCCTGCAAAGAGGAGGTTTGGCTTATTGTTCAGAGGGCTTCTGGGGCTGTGAGAGCCTGGGCTGTTCACCGTTGGGAAATCCAGTGCTTCCCACTGTTCTGAGGGACCTTCTTAGGCAAGGCAGTCTGGGATAATTTAGCACCAACGGGGTTTTGTCGAATGATGAACACCATCCTCTCCCCCTTCCTGGCTTTTCATGTATTCAGAGATTAGAGTTGAAATGACCTTCCAGTTCACGGCCTCATCCAATTTTTTGAGCCAAGAAAATCAAGGCTCAGAGAAGCGATGACTTGCCCAAGTTCACACAGTTAACAGTGGATGCCTGCATAAAGTCAGGTCTTCCAATTCCAGGCCTGAGTTCTTTCCACACCCTCAAGCTATTTCCTGCTTGAGCTCTCCCTGACCCCTGAGGCTAACCAAATGGACTCAAATGGTTGGGGCAGGGGGCTAGTACCCCAGTGTCCTGAGGCTTCCCCAACATGAATGTGGGTTTGCAGATGGTTGATGAGTTTTAACAGGGAAATAAAACAATTGGGCAATCAGCCAGAGGCAGGGCTGCTAGATATAATACAGGATACAATTTGGGACACACTTAGACTAACAGATTATTTGTTGATTATCTGACATTCAAATTTCACTGGGAGTCCAGTATTTTTATTTACTAAATCTAGCAACCCTAGCCAGAGGTCAAAAAGAAGAAAGCAAATGTGGATTGGGAGACATTTTACAATGGGCTGATTAGCTGTCTGGGGGAGGGTAGTCCCCACCCTTTGTCATGTAGAAGAGAGAGCTAGCTTCCCCCCACCTGTCTGGCCCAACTCTTTGCTGGGTCAGGTCTGCTAGAGATGGTAAATAGGCTGCCCTGAGGGAGAAGAGGGGGCAAGGGAAGGGGGCGCCAGTACCCCTGATTGAGGTCCAACATGGACCTGGCCCTGGGCCCAGAGCTGAAGACAACGTGGTGGGCAGTGGCCTGGTTGTGCTGGGGTGTGTTCGCACCCACATAGTCCTGGAGAGAGGGGGACTGGGGCAAGTGAGGAGCAGGGCCGTGTATCCATGACCACCCTCCTGCCCCTATTAGGCCGGGATTTGACCCCAAACAAAGTCCAGGCTGCCTGGTGAGGGCTCAAGAAAACGTGGAGGTCAGAGAAGAGGTCACTCTCCACGAGGAGAAACTGGACCGGGGCCAGGCCTCAGAACTAAAAGGGACTCTGAGGTCTGAGGTCAGTGAAGGTTGGAGCCCAGGAGCAGGTTGTCAGGATCACAGCCAGAGTCTGGATCTGGATGTGGGCAACTGCAGGGGGGCTCCTGTCCCCTTCCTGGCCAGGAGCAAACACTACTCTGGGCTGCCCCAAGACCCCACCCATTAGCCTCCCTGACCCCAGGCCTGGGGCCCATGTGGCTCCCTAGGGTCTTCAGATGCCCTGGGTGGGCCCCCCTTTCTCCCAGAGCCTTTGGGCTCAGCAGGCTGGCCCTTCCCTGGGGCTCCCTGGTCAGGAATAAGGCCTATGGTTCAGTTCACCAGGCCTTTCCTGGCAAGGCTGAGTCCTGGGTCCAGTCCTTGCCAGGCCGGTACTGGCCTGCGGCCTCAGGTGGGTTTTCAACTTTCTTCAGTATGTGTCTTCCTATAAAATGGAGGTAATTACCTTTTTTGCAAGGAGCTTGGCTGCACTAATGGAGCTGCCAACAGAGTGCCCAGCACACACAGTACTGCTCAAGAAATAGGAGCCTTTCACACCATTATCAATTTTTATATTTCCCTTTTTAAAAATGTAAGAATGTTTCTTGGTTATTTTTATGATTAACACACCTGGTACAAAATCATAAGGTGGAGAAAGGCAGCCATGAAAGGCCAGTCTCTCTTCTTTGTTCTCATTTGGCATTTCACTTCCCTGGACAGGCTGCACTTTACAAAGAAACATACAAATATTTTTTCCCACCACATAAACCTTACTGATCTATCAAATGACCTATACCCTCTTTTTGAAGTTATAATTTTACTTTATCATGATAATTTTATTTTTTAAATGGTACAGTGGAAAGTCTCTCCCACCCCTGGCCCCCCTTCTCTAGAGACAGCAAGTGTTATCAGTTCAATTGATCTGAAGGGCCTTATTGTTTCTCCTGGCCTCTTTGACATCAGAATTTATCTCATCACTTACCTCACCTGCTGCCAGCCAGGTGACAGTTGAGACACATCAGTGCAGCAGCCTTCTGATGACGCTTGGTATATTAGCCTGCTTGGGCAAACCACACACTGGGGGCTGAAGCAACAGAAACTGATTTTCTCACAGGTCTGGAGGCTGGAAGTCCAAGGTTGGCAGGGTTGGTTTCTTCTGAGGCCTCTCTCCTGGGCTTGCAGATGGCCACTTTCTCGCTGTGCCCTTACCTGGTCTTTCCTCTGTGCACACACCTCCCTGCTGTCTCTGCGTCCAAACCTCGTCTTGGGACAGCCGTCCTACTGGATCAGGGCCCACTCTAACAGCCTCGTTTTACTTTGATCGTCTCATTTTACTTTAATCGCCTCTTTAAAGGCCCATCTCCAAATACAGTCACACTCTGAGGTCCTGGGCATTAGGGCTTCAAAATAGGGATTTGTGGGGGATACAGACTGGACAAAGTAAGCTCCAGCATCAGGAGCACTTGGGTTTGAGGAAATACCATAGTTACTGCTTCTGAGAATTTCTATGCACATACAAGCAGATGCATTTTTCCCTTTCTTTTACAACTTGATGGGTAGCATACTACACATACTGTCTTATACTTTTTCCTCTTTTACTTAACATATCTTGTAGAACCTTCCCTATAGTACTGCTTCATCTTGGCTTTTATTTTACTACTACGTAAAATTTCTTTGTATAGATGTACCACAATTTATGTAACAAAATCCTGTTAAATGGTTATTCAGATTGTTTATGATTGTTTTCAACTGTTTGCTGTTACATAGCATGCTGCAATAAATCATCTAATATAAATGCAGCCTTATATATTTATGAATGTATCTTTTGGATAAATGTCTACAAGTGGATACACTGGTTACAAGATAATAGTATTTTTCATTTTCAGGGATATTGCCAAATTGACTTCCATTTACACGAGCAACAAATGAGAACACAGCCTCATCAGTACATAAAAAATGTAAGAGAAGCATTAAAGACTAAAACTTAAAGTTTTAAGAGTCATTAAAGACCAAACTTAAAAAGCTATGAAACATTTGAAATAATAGATGAAAAATAGCACTTCACTGTAGTCTTAATTTGCATTTATTTTATTATTTTGAGGTTGAGCTTTTTTTCACACATGTAAAGCCATTTATGTTTCCATTCCTGAGAACTGTTTGTTCATACATTGTGTCCATTTTTCTATTGAGTTGCCCTTTTTCTCTTATTGTTTATAGATAGATTTCTTATTGATTTAGGGATGTAACCCTTTCTCTGTTGCAAATATTACAAGTATTTCCCTCTGGTTTATAAGACTTGTTTTTGCTGGGTTTTGCCACACTGTAATATTTTTATTGAATTGTGCTAAATTTATAGATTAATTTAGGAAACATTGACATCTTCCCATCCAAGGACACAGTTTGTCTTTTCTTCATTCATTAAGTCTTTTTAAAAATTGTTCTTGGTCTTACTTACATCTTAAATGTAACTTGTCAAATCAATTACTGGGTAATTTATATTTTTTGTTGTTATTGGAAATGGCATCTTTACTCCATGGCACTGCTTGAGTATTGATTGCATCACTGAAGACTATTGATTTCTCTGTACCAATTTAAACCCAGCCTCCTTTCTGAATAATCTTATCATTTGTAGTAGTTTTAGTTGCTTCTCTTTTATTTTTTCTAGGTACAAAATCTTAATGTTGGCCAATAATGATAATTTAATTCTTTTTCAGAGTTTATCCCTCTGCTTTCTTTCTTATTTCATTCGCTAGTATCTCCAGAACAATGTTAAGGAAGAGTGCTGATAGTAGACATCATTGTCTTGTTGCTGGTTTAATTAGACTCCTGGTTCCCCACTAAGCGTGAGTCTTACAGTTGAAATAAATGCATTTTATCATGTTAAAGAAGTATCCAAAATAGTTTTATAAAATGAAGAATGGACATTGAAGAAAATCATTCCCGACCCTGAGATATAGGGCCCTTGGTGCAGGCAGAGACCAGACCAGGGACCCCGCTCAGCCACCTCAGAGGCAGAGGTTCCCCCCACCCGCGTGGCCCCTGGCCCTCGGGCAGCCTCCCCCTGCAAGGACCAGGCTGCAGCAAGGGAGGAGGCCTCACCTCGGAAGTTTTGGCTGAACCTCTTCCCTCGGGATCGGGCTCCGTGGCCTCGCTGCAGCAGGGACACGTACTGGGCCCTCACGTGGCCAGGGGTGTCTAGCTCCTCCACATTGGCCTTATCCAGGGTGGGCACCTCCCTGAGGTGCAGCTGCTGCAGCAGGCTGCCCAGGATCTGCTCCCCTGTCAGGGCCACCCCGGGGCCGGCCGGGGGCAGCACCCAGAGTGCCCAGCAGAGCCACAGGGGCCTCATGGTGCCGTTCGGGAGGAGCAGGAACGGAGCAGAAGTGTCCCTGGAAGAGGCTCCAGGAGGGGCCCAGCTGGGTTGCTGAGAGCCAGGCTGGCCAGCTTTATAGGCAGCCCTGGGCTGGGCGTGGGTGGAGGAAGGGAGGCTGAGGGGGAGGGAGGTCACACCCTCAGACCTCCTGGGAGCTCAGCAGCCAGACTGGTCCGTGAGCCCGAGGTGGGGGCTGTCTACAAGGGGCACAGATGTCTATGTCGATGTGGACAGCTGGCTGCTGCCAGCTGTACAGTGGTCATGAACCTCTACTTGGCTCTAGGGTGTCTGACCAGTTAAATAAAAAAGCTTGTTTCCTGGAGTAGAAGT